AACTGCCCTGCATAGTCTTGGTCCATGATAGCGATTGCTCTTCTTCTCGATGCGAGGCATCTTGGCTGTCCAAAGACCTTGCGGTTCAGGATTGCCCAAAACATCTTGATTGCGTGCTACTCCAGTTTTCATTGAATATGAACATGAAGGGCTGTAGTCCTCATCCAAGGTCCCGTATCTCAAATCTAAATTCGCCGACTAGTCCTCGGGATCCGGAACCGTAACTTGTTAGCTATACCAATCGATCGACGTCGGATTCCTTCGTAATGGCCTATTGAACTTTCATTTGATATTTTCAGCATCGCTGAACGAGAATAGTTTAACGTGTCATGTCGTTAGCGGAAGCCGCTTCGCTAGTGCGACCCGAACACAAGAACTGCACCCGAGCTAGAGCACGAGTCGATAATGAGACGAACTCGACGACGAGATGACAATGGCCGAGGGCAACCGATTCTCTCTTTTGGTCTGGCTGCAGAATGGGGTAGTGAGGGGCAATGTAAGCAGCGGATGCAATGGTGCCACTCTCGAAATATACTTGTCAAGCTGTATTCGCTTCACGTTGCTCCGACCGTTGGCGCTCGGCTTGGTGAACAGAGACAGAACGGCATGTGGGCATAGTAGTTTACATTCTGGCACACACAGATATCGATTCCGTAGCAAGCTCATTACTTGTAGAAATTCGACGCGACTTTTGGAGTCCATTGTAGCTAGGGAAATACATGTTTCGGTCAGAGTCGTGGCTGCTGGTCTACAGGCTTTGATCAAATAGACTTTGAGCGATTGGAAGAGACGGCCGGCGGGCACTGATTGGATCGCTATTGAAGCAACATGTCGTCCGTCCATAAGTCTCCATGCGATCGCAAAACGTAGAGACTACAGACCTAAGCCCAAAGCGGACACCGAGGGCTTCAAGACTCTTCAGACGTTGATTTGAGCAGAGAAGCCCCAAAGGTTGACAAAGGTTGACAGTCAAGGACACCCTCGTAAGGGTTGACCAACGAGATGGACCGTCAATCAGTCAGAGTCGCTCAGCACAGTCAGCGGGCGCCTGGCGCCTGGCGGAGGGTGTGAGGGGGTCGCGACTCGCGAAGGTGCAGCCGAGGGTCGACCTCAGCGCTGCACCGTGTCCAGAAGGGCCGAAGGTGGTGACAGACGGTGCAGCAGGTGAAGCATCGACTGAGAAAGGATCTCCCGAGTAGACACGCACGACACACAGACGAACGCAGCACCTCCCATTCCCAGTCGATCGCACAGACCCAAGCATTTAGCGCCGATAATTTGACGGGCAGCCGACCTGGCTGATGGCCAATGGTCAGATGGAAGGAGGAAGGCGGAATGCAAACCATGCCGCCATACCACCCTTTCGTATCCTCCCATCGGTTGGCCCGATCAGGTTGTCTTCCATGCAGACTTCTAGAAGCTGTGCCGTGGGCAAGCATCTACGGATACACTGTAGCTGGGCAGCTGAGTTGCAGCCATCGTCATCGCCCTAGATACCGGCAATCGTGTGCTTCTTTCTCGAGAAACGGACACCTATCTTGGCAATCGAAGAACTCTAGCGTGAGATAAGATAGCGACTTGGGCGATTAGTGCCTACATATATGTTACCTAAAGCATGGCAAGCACGTCTGCGCAATGTTGATAGGCATCGTGGGCATGAGGTCAGTAGGCAATACCTACGCAGTAAATGTTGGTGGTTGCCGCCATGCACCTTCTAGCGTGGTGGGGGTGCCAGAAGTCAGGAAACGTTCCGTCGTCGTCCACCCGACTGCCCTGTCACAAAGCATTTCATTGGTACCTTCTTAGTCGACCACAGTAAGGTACGGATACTCCATAATAATTACCACACTGGACTTCATGTATCTGCATCTTTCTCGATTGTACGGAGTACCTGAGGTATCTGCCCTGAAGCCCTAAAACTGCTCAAGCACCTAGAAATTCTCAACCTCAGGCCTCACTTTCAATCCAAGGCTCGAAGATACCCACAGATGTATGAGTGCCTCAGGTCCTCAACGCCTCACAGGCGGCACCTGCAGCCTGCACCGCCTTCCCAATTACCTCACCCCACGCCTTCCTTGCCCTCCCACCCCACCTCTCGCTGCCCATTTCTCTTTCCGACGAAAACTTTTCTTCCTCTTCTTTCTTTCACAGCAAACCACCCATTCAACCTTTTCCGATCTCGTGTCGCCTCTTTCTCTAACTCGAGTCGTCTTACCCAGGCCACTCACGTCTTCTGTGTTGCCACTCTCACGTCAAGGCCGGCACCGGCAGACGTTGCAGTTCATCGCGGTAGCCGCCGTTGCCTGTGATGAGACCTTGGTCAAACCCTGGCCTTGTCACGAGTCTCGATCACGAGGCTCCATGCTGTTCTTTGCTTCACACTGGCTTTCGCCGGACACAAAGCTCACAATATCGCTACTGGAGACGTCGGTTCTGACACTTCAACGCGAAGTTCGGTTTCCCAGGGCTCTGATTCCCGCATTTATTACGGAACACTACTCCGTACCTTGCTTTGTATCGCACCCAAAATCATATCTGGGCATTGATACGGTCATCCCTTCGCCATGTGATGTAATTGCCAGAACTACGTTTTACGTAGATCGGCATCAACTGTCGCACATCACTCGACGTTGGTGTTTTCGCTCCTGGCATAGAATAACTATTTAAAACCCGTTGCTGGGCACCTGGCTTTGAGCAGTCGTCTTGACTATCATGAGAAGTTGGGAATCAGCTGAGGTTACATTGATGCGAATTCGTTGCAACTTGATGTTCTAATCATAAGATACGCTCTGCTGTCTAAGGTAGGCCCAAGTCAAAGGGATCAAAATGCCCGAGTACCTTTCGCCAAGCTTGCAGGCAACGAGGCACATGTCAGGAATCATTGATTTCTTAACACGGTTCCAAGTCACAATCGTGATTGGTACCCGCAGAGCGTTAGTATCGAGGCTGTGAAGTTGCAGTTTGTTCTTGGCGGCTCCTGTTGCTGCTACCCTTAGTTTTAGTGGCAGCAGTTGATGTCTCTGTGTTGGGTACGACGTAATGCCCAAGGTACTCCTTAATAGTAAGCAGTTAATTTACCTTGAGCGCAGACGTTGAGGTCGGCGTACGTAAGGTAGACACAGTGGATGATCTTTGAGATCCAATGACCATGTACAAATGAAAGCGACATTCCTGTCCTAGGCCACTCAGCTGGTAGAACAGTCCGAATAGCTGCTGGGTACGAGCATCCATGCCCTGCACGAGCTTCAATTCAAATACTGCGCAAGTGTTATCCGTGTCTGTAGCCGTATGTACACAAGAAACGGAATGACGAGTATTGACCAGCGTGTGTTTTGTGCTGCTGTCCTGACCGTTGGAAACTGGAGTCTGAAGGATCATGAATGTGCCTGGTCAATGTTGTGGTGCAACTCCAAGAACCATGGGCACTCCAGAATCTGGACCCCAGACTCCAGAGTGCCAGCCCGCGCTTGGAGCACCAGCCGGTCTCCACTCAATACTTGAGCGTCACTGTCGGATCAGGACCAACAAGGTTGTGGTCGAGGACAGGTAAGGTCATCATGTAAGTACATAGACTGCTGGAGAGACTCGCGAAGGTAAGGTACCTTAGGTACGGATAGACTACTGTGTAAGCAATACGGAACCAAACGCCGTTCGAGCCTCGAGGTGCATCGTATTTATCGGCATGATTCGGGGCATGCGCATCCTCATCCCGTCTTTACCGTCTTATCCGCAACGCAGCAAGGCTGCATTGTGCCTATTTTCACACTCTGCAAAGGACTTACGGATAACGTACTTAGCATCCGTACACCGTACGGGGTAGTCGGACGGGATCGGGACGGGTGATTGTCTCGCTTGTTTCACCCAATACATGTTCTGAGGACTGTTCTCTGTGTGCTAGTGAGTACGAATACCTCAAGATACACGAGAGTTGATGGATACCTTGGTAGGCTGGGCTGCCAAGGCGAGATGAGATGTTGAAGTCGCAACAGTCGAGACGGATACCAATCTTGAGGGGCACAGTGGTGCTTGCCAAATGCCAGTTTTGAACTGAGGTCTGCGTCCAGCTTCTTGAGGTATTCGTATCAGTGTGAAGAACTCCCGCGCGATACAATGTGGCGTTGCTCTCATGATCCCCTTCTACCTTAGGTAGGTACCCAGGTAGGTATGTAGGGACTTGATCGCCTTCTTAACTCCCGCGAATGAACCTGATCCTTCATTCTCGCCCAGTAAGGCATGGCGCAGATTGCCTTGCTCTTCAGTCACAGACCTACTCAGGTCGCTCCTCTGGACATCTACGCCAACTCCAGCTACAGCCCCAGGTCCAGCTGTACGGAGTACATGACTTCATGAGACTGTCTGTACCTGCCCCCATCCAGGTCGAATGGGGCTCACCCCCCATAGAAACGGCTTCAAAGACCCAATCATGGCCTCCGGGCAGTCTGCAGGTGGTGGATGCATGGGCGAACCCTCCCTCTTTGGCTCCTGCCTGCTGGCTGCTGGATTCTGGAAAGACCTGACATGAAGACCAGGGCACCCGCCTCAGGCATGCACCCTTTCGCGCACTTGCATTTCACCATTCCAATTTATCCCGTTCACCACCACTACATACATGGCACCGGGTCATCGCCATCGCCGTTGTCGTGGCCCTTTCCCGTCCTCTGCCTTGCGACAAGCTATTGCCATTCCGTGCCATTTTCTCCATGGGCACAGTCAGTTGCCAACCGAGTCGGCCTTCACCGTAGCAATGCTCCCTGTGCTGAAGCAGTAGGTAGACACGCAACACACCCCCATCAGTCTACCTTGATCTACCTGTCGGGACCACAATCGGCAGCGGCGAGAAAGAGAACAAGAAGAAGCACAATAAGATGCTTGAGAAAGTAGGGAAGCAGCTACCGCCGTCCCCGCCGTCTTTGCCAGTCACTCCAGGTCAACCTCAGGTGCCAGTGTGGCCCAGGGAAGGTAGCCGCGCCTCGCCTTCCTATCCCATGCATCATCTCAGTCTCACCCCAATCCCAATTCTTGAATGTGGAAGGCCCCAAACATTAAAATGGCTTCCTGCGTCCGCCCCGGCGCCTGCCACTTCACCTTGCCACCTGTCCCACGTCCCTTCCCATTATTCTGCAATCTTTCGAGAAACTTCATCGTGTCCACGGAGAGACTACCTTACTCTCCTGCTCGTCAGGCGACGCATCGCCCTCCTCCTTGATTATCAAGGCAGGACACAGCTTGCGCTCCGCATACCACTGACACACGCGGAGTCTCCAGACAGGGTCTCTAAGGTAGTATTCACAAGGCCACCTCACTTACACAGGAGCAATTTTTGTGCCTTTCGTCGAACCAGCGCAAAGTCGGCCTTGGGAATAACCTACAGCGAATACGACAAAAGGCATAACTAGCTACCGTGCAGCCTTACCTTACCTTACGTCTTGTCCTTCAAGAGAAGAATAAGGAGTCTGGGGTCTCAAAGTCCTGGATAGAGTATCCGTACGAAATTACGAATACTTTGCGAGTTTACCTTAGTTTGCGAACGAGTCATCGCCTACTTCCCCGCCAATCACAGCTGGCCCCTCAAGGTACCAGCACACTTGTAGGCTACCGTTCAAATCCCCCGTTCCCAAGGTTCCCACGGCCCAGGGGCCTTCAGAATTTCAGCGGCCAGCCACCATCTCGCGTTGTTAGCTCCGACGACCAGTCTCGTTCACTGCCCTGAAGGCTGAATCCGCCTACCCGCCCGCCCTTGGCCGACCAAACTCCCGACCTCTGAACTCATCTACTTCGGGCTTCACCACCGAAGAACCGCACCGCCGACCAACCGCCGTCATCTCCAAGGGCCAAGAAAGCACAGCTCGATCCAGCGTGTCCCCTCGAGGTGCCAGTGTCTCCGTTTTCTTGCAGCTTTCTGCACCCTGTTCCTACTCCCCAGGACCTACAGATACAAAGACAGTTTCGGCCTTTTCCCCTTGCCTAGGGAATCTTGTTGGAATCCCATTGCAAAGGTACATACCTACCTTACCTTCTTTCGGCCACAGTCTCTCCGACCGTGCCTTGCCTGACACATACTGCAGCCAAGCTACCTGAGCCCAGCTGTGAAAAGGGCCAAAGGCTACCTACGGATACCTGTCAGCGAAGACGTACAGACTTGACTTTGACGCCATTCCGCTGCAGACCTGCCACCGTGCCAGCAAAGGAAAAAAGGGAACCTCGAACCCCCACCCTGCTGCCGCTGCGCTGCTTCCAACCCCTCCGATCTTCACACCCTCCAGGGCTTCAACGCCTAGGAACGACTGGTCGGCTGGTTTACCCCCCGCGTCTCCGAATCAGAGTCTCGATTTCATCCCGCCTCCCTGCAACCCCCAAAACCCGGACACTACTTCATACGCTACACTAGGCGAGAGAAGAGCTGGGAAGGCGCCAACACCGGCAATCGCTGCACAGCGCTGCACGGTCTTCGTCGACGACCACGGTCCGCCACACACCGACCACATCCTGTTTGTTGCACATGCTCAGCCCTTGCGCCCCAGGTACAGACAGGCCCTCTGGCGACCCTCACTAGCGACGACACGCTCAGCTACCCCTACCAGGCTGCTCTACAGAATACGATATTGGCAGCTCGTCTTTACGGGTCCTCTCCTGCGACGTACTGCTCGATACTATCTCTGCCATCCTCTGTTAAATCTTTTTGAGCCCGTGTCATCCTCGATTACTTCTGTCACGGACTGCTGAGAACAAAACCTTCGCTGTCGGTATTCTACCTCGCGTGCGCCAACCTGGTCAAGGCTTGAACAACTCGAGCAGGCCCAGACACAACATTGGAAAGGTGATGAAAATTCTCCACTCAACACCCACCACTCGACTAGACTTACCCACTTGTTCCGGACGTTGACATCGGTCAATTGGTCCAAAGTACCTCTGTACCTCGAAGCTTGGCCGACCCTGCCCTCGTCCGTCGTCCTCATCTCTTTTTTTCTTCTGATTTTTATGAAAATCTTTTAGCTGCTATCCGTCTACCCCACGGATATGTCCTATTCATAGACCTCCACACTTTGTCGTGCTTGGCGGTCACTGTCACTCCAGTCTCTCTCCCCTCTTCTTCACAAGAAAAGAAGAGACAAGAGGTCCGTCACCCTCCCAGAGGACGGACATCACAAGCAAACCCTTGGCCAAGTTCCCACCACCACCACTACCACCACCACCACCACCACCAGTCTTCCACCCCTACCACCTACCACACCCAGTCCCAGCACCATCCGTACAGCCGTACGTAAAGTACGGACAGACAGACACCCAGAACCCTTCAGCTTCCGCTACCGGCCGGCCCAGCTTTTAGCCATCGCACCCACGGCATCCAACCCAACCAGGGGCACTGGACTAACACGGCCCCCCCCAGCCCACGCCAAACATTCTGTAACGAGACCGAAGAGCTCCCGCTCCACGCTCCAGGGCAAGAAAATCCCACTTTCCAGGCCGACCCGACCTACCATATCCTCGTCCTCGACTCGACCGTTTCTTTGCACGCCTGCCGACCGCCGATTGTCTTCGATCTCTCTCCTTCCCAAACTCTCGTGGCGGGGGAACTTAGAATCGCTTTTTTCCTCCCAACCATTTCTCTCCCATTTTGCTGCTTGTTTTGCCTCGCCCGACATGATTATCGACGGGGAGAAGTATGCCTGCGAGGCCTGCGTTCGGGGTCACCGTGTTAGCAATTGCCAACACTCTGGTAAGTTCTTGGGCCTTTCATTGCACTTTTCTTCTCATTGCAATTGCACCTATGCAATGCAGCTCACTTAGCTATACCACAACATACCCCAAGCTACCTCTAACTCTTTCACTTGGGGGTTTCCTTCTCCAACTACGCCACTGAGCATCGAGTTTCTAGCAAACATGTGCAGCTAACCGCTTGTTTTGCTGCAGATCGTCCCCTTCAACATATTAACAAGAAGGGTCGCCCCGTCTCCCAATGTCAACATTGTCGGTCGATGCGCAAGTCACGCTCTGCCCACATCAAGTGCGATTGTGGTGAGAAGACAAGCAAATGCGCTCACCTGCAACCTTTGGCCGATGGCCATAGAGGTGAGTCTGCCCTGTGCTTTTGACAAGTCATTCGCCTCTACGATGAGAACGATCCCCTCTAACATTCATGTTCTTCGCGCGCAGAGACTTGTTGCTGTAACCATGGTGGTCGCTGCACTTGTAGCCACAAGAAAGAACCAGCCCTCGACACCGTCCCCGAATCCGACTCCGACAAGGAAGCCATCGCTCCTCGGCCGAAGCCGCCCGTTCGCAGGCGGCGTGCGAACACGGTCCATTCTGATGGCATGTTGACCTTCGACGAGCACGGCCATCACAAACCAGCACACAAGCTCAACAAGGCTTCTCAGAAGTGCGGACCTTATCAACTCAACCGTGTCAATTCCTTGCATAGCACCAGTAGCTTGGGCAGCCACTCCCCAGAGCGCATCAGTGACAACCCTCTCAAGGATCCCGTATCGGGCCGCGTCGCACCTGTTCCACAGAGACTAGTCAAGTCTGAAGCTGCTTCTCCACTCATGAGAGGTTCATCTGGTTTCCAGCAACTCAACAACCAGCTCCCGCCCCTTGATCTCTCTGGCATTGAGTACCCGACATATGTACCCAACGCCTCTTTCGACCTGTTTGGCGGATCAGGAATGTCGTCGGATCACGATGCGCCGATCTTCAGTGCTGGGCTGAGCGCTGCATCCGTAGATTGGAGCCATATCGATCTCACTGACAGGACGGACAAGTTTGCTCCCTCGAGTTACAGCCAGGCTGGCGCTCAGAGCTTCAATGGCATTTTCGATTTCGGTACGGGCTCCGAGCCAGCCCCTACCCTCGCCGCGACGACTTCGACGTCTGGGGAGGTCTCTGAAGTAGAGGACAACTTCATCGCTGGCGATAGTGACTTCGACGGCTTCGGCACTGGAAGCAACAGCTTTATTCACCCGGCGAGTTTCCTTGCTACTGGAGCAGACCTGAGCACGATTGACTACGACAGCTTCGCCAAATCATCGAACAACAAGTTCATGGCAGCACCTTCTTCATTTGATGACGGCGGCCCGATTGCTGGCGGTTCTCTCACCTTTGAAGATGATCCAGCGTTCTGGGGTCAGCAATTCAACGACGGCATCGCCACATACCAAGAGTCGCCAGATGGCCTGCCTCAGTTTCAGCCGGAACCCTGGACAATGCCGTAAGCGTTTTGATATGACGACAGTTTCGACGCTTGCACGCCAATGATATCCAGTCCAACAACTTTTAGACGGCAAGTACAGGCGCAAGGGATGCGAGCATAGGCGTGACGAGATTTTGTGGTGGACGACTGGATAGATGCCCGCTACGATATCCATACCTTGGAGTTGGCGTAGACCTCTTGTTTTTCTTCGACTTTGTTTACATTTTACTCGGACAGCATTAGAGGCTATATCTTTCTTATGTTTTGACGTTAGGCTTGACCATGGGACTGAAAAAGAAAAAAGACGGGGCGGGCGGCTCAAAAAAGAGTGACAGCATCTCATTATCATTACCATCATCGATTGGACTTGGCGCAAAGGCAACTGGGTAGCATCTGGGTGAGGCTATTGGGGATGGTTTGGTTACAGACGACGACGAATTATGTATGTAGGCCTTGGAAACCGGATTTCAGTGTGCAATTGGCTCACCCTCACGACATATCGTTTTCCCTCACTGCAAATGAACAAGCTGTATATAGAGAGACACCAGCGGTTTCAATTCCTTGTTGTTAAAGTGCGAGGCAATCAAAATAGTATCTATATCTAGGCGATTGCGGAGGCGCATTCATGTAGGATTATTCGCGTGGAGTGATCGATTTGAGCTTTGCTGCGTATTTGCAACAGTTTTACTTTCCATGGCTCTTACTTTCCCTTGATACGGGCTGAAAGTGATTACCCTCCCGTAACGACATGCTAGCGGGTCTTGGAGTAATAGGAATGGCTCAGAGACGAAGGGCGCTTGATACATCGCCAGGTGAATATGGTAAGAGGCCGCTGATCGAGATTCGCACGTCCGTATTAGTGGGTACAAAGGGTTCAACTGGTCATTGGCAAATTGAATTTGACAATCTCTTGGTGAATTACCTACTTACAAATTACCATGCGCTCAGCGAGACAATGCCTTGCTATTGATTTTCATTTCACTTTTTGACAAGCATTTGGCAACTTCATCGTTAACTTTCAAGGCAAGTCAATAAGTCAAACGATGCACGAACCGAAAACTGAATGTGCCACCGATGTGGATGACGAATGCGAATGAGATGAGAGAGGGGCACAGGACAAACGATCTAATAAAATCAAAGCTACCTTGGTACGGATATACTTAGCTTTCGATGTTCGATGACAGGGCCCACATCAATCAGATAAAAGGGCCTTGCAATAGCGATTGAGTTATGCGGCCTTGGAGGAGGGGAGGGGAGGGGAGGGGGAGAGGGAGGGGGAGGGGGGTTTATTGTTTAGATGTCTTTGTTCTGTGCTGCATCTGTTCTGTGTACATCTATTACAGTTACCAGTAGGGAGGGTATGAAGAGTACCGTACTGGTGCTTTTCCCTCGTGCGCCGTGGCCAGGTTGCCTACCTTATCAGCCATTGGCTCGTTGCAAGTACCTGAGATTCACCACCCAGTAAACGACACCCCTAGGCAGGTAGGTACTTGAGTGTTTCGATGAGCCAAACTCGAGGCAAAAGGCAGCACCTTCGCGGAGCAGATGGCCGGCAGTAGGGGCGGGCAAACAGGGGACTCAGTGAGAGACAGACAGTTGCAGCCTGCAGGCGTCCTTCACAAACTACCTTACAGGCTTACATACCTGTATCCGTACTCTTAGGGCTTCAGGGCTCTGTCGGGGAGACCCTCCTTTCCTGTTCCTGCATATCATCCATCCAGGCTGGCACCGCCTCACCATCGGCGTTTTCCACCATGGGCTGGGCCCCAGTGGTATTTTCCAACTGGGTGATTGGTAGGGTCGACGGTGGTCACCGAATGTGACTCTGTCCGGAAATCGTCCAAGTCCTGTCCAATCTCCATCCAGGGAAGTTCCCCCCTTGTGCTGCATGGCACTGAGAGTGCCAAGTGGCCAGTGCCCACCGTTGTGTAATAATTCTCCTCCTCGGACCTCCCTCCTCTTTCTTCTCTCCCCTCCTCGGGGCACTCGCTCTCAAGGGGGGTCCACCGAGACTGGCCTTTGCGGGAATCGAGAGGGACTGGGCAAGTTACAACGGCGATTGATGAACCCACCCAAGCCCCGCGAGAACCGTGTGGATTGCGACTTGATCACCCAGTTAGGTCCATCAGACCTCGGGCGTCCAAGGTCCAGAAACATACACTGGCAGATACAGTGCCGAACTCAATGAATGGTTGCGAGAAGCTGTGGACTCTATGGATAGGTATGCGCACTTGGTAAAAGCGGAGGCTCCCGACTAGTATCCGTAAGGATACAGAGCAGTCGAGTTATGAGTATCCGTACGCTCGCCGAAACGGTATCTGGACCGGCAACGGTGGCTGGGTTGGTGGAGGCGCCGCAGCCGATGTGTGTGCGACTATGAGAGTGTGTCATCACCTGCTGTCAACACCGGCGCGGCTCTCGGCGCCTTTAGACGAGGGAATGGGGGCACAAGGGGGGTCTTCGCAGGGGCTGTCCAACCCCCGTGAGCGGTGGCAGTCGATGATCTCCGGTGCTCGGGAGTCGGGACTGCAACCAATCGACGCAGACAGCTCTGAAGTAGATGCCGTCCCATGTATGCGAGCGCATGCTCGTTTGCCTTGAGTCGCGGCTAACGTGCCAGAGACTGAGAATAAGTCATGAACGGCAAAGCCGGCAGTGAGAGAAGTCCGGGAGGTGTGGTGCAAGAATAGGATACTTGCTTTCCAGAGTTCGGGGCACTACCCATCACAGCTTTTCCCACAGACTCGGAACCCAGTTTCGATACGTTGCCAGTCAATTGACTCTGACGGCATTCATCACATGGTTCTTCCTGCATGGGTCCGGCAGGCGCGTGGTGCGCCAGCTAGCAGGTTTTCCATGTGCCGCTTCGAGGTCGAGGCTACCGACGTGCCACAGATAGTTTCGCTGCGATTGAGGGGAAGGGGGTTCTTTAACAGCTTACCTTACTCTCGGGTCAAACCCTTCACCGCCTTCTACCTCAAGCCAATGACCAAGTTTTGTAGGACAGCCCCCCCCCCCCCCCCTCTCTCCACCACCCGCGCGTCGGTGACAACCAAACGGTAGCATCTGGTGTGTGCAAGTGTGAGATCATTACATTGGGCCATCGCCCATTACATCGCCCATTACAGGCATCAAGGCGAGAGAAGGCTTTGGCATATAAGGATGCGGCTTATAGAGAGAACTAATTGTACATTACACTTCATATTAATACACCGATCCTAAAGCACCCAGATAGGTGTCGCAAGCATCTGTATCTTCCACTGATGGATGGTAACCATATGGATAAACACCCTGGTTGATCCATATCGACCTTTCGCGCAACCACACTTGATCTCCTTCCAACATAGAGAGGCACTCGCCCACTGTCGCTGTCAACATCTTCAATAGTACCAAAAGTGCTTTTTGCCAGTCACTTCTGAGTATCCCAGAAAGCCCGTGTTCGGCGGTTGAGCATTACGCTGCTCAGTAGCTTGATGCTCCAGCTGAAGGAGCTGCTGTTGTTCCAGCAGCAGCGGGTGCCCCTGCCCCTGCAATTCTTCCTCTCCATGCTGTGAATGATGCAGTACCTGCTGGGACTCCACGACACTCCCCGCCTCCTGTGGCTGCTGACAATCTGCCATTTGCTGCGCTAGCTGTTGTTGTTCACGCAGCTGCCGCTCCTGCCGTTGCTCGATCCACGCAAAATGAGAAGGTTCCTAAGCTGCTTGTTGAGTTGCGCGGACAACATTGAGGTAACCAATAAGCAGTAACGGTCGAGGGTCGAAGCCCATGTCTTCGTAGCTGAGCGCAGTGCGGTAGGTCGGTGCCTCCTCTGTCTTTTCCACAGCAGCTGATGAGAGAGTTGCTAAATCGGCTAGATGCTGCAGCCCCTGGCTTGCAGCTGCCTCCATAGCAGATGGAGCTGGAGCTGCGGCAGTATTAGTGGAGAGGCGAAGGTGATCAGCAATCTTGTCCCGAACCAGTCCATCGAAGACGGAAGCTGGAAGTGAAGAGTCTCGGAATTCACCAAGAAGCCTTGTGGCCTCCTCCTTTGTCTTATCCAACTTTGCCAGCTCGACTAATGTGAGCACCGCCAGAACTGTAAAATGATGGTGCAAGGGCGTGATGAGTTGCGAATGGCCAATCAGGAGGTTGATCAGCTCTTGACCGGGCCACAAGACATCGGTCGACTTGGCGGATGGGTTGAGAAGATATGCTAACAAGCGGCAGTGCCAATATACAAGGTGAATAACAGGATAAATGTTGGGCTCGATGTGGGCAGGCAGATCCTCACGAAAGTCTTCTACCCACGCATCCATAAAGGAGCCCACCATGCGGTCCGCAAAGGTTGTGTTGAGTGGCTCTTGGAAGTTGGTAATCATGGACGACGCACGGCTGAGGAACTTGGACGCACCTGCTATATAGTCAGCACCCTATAATACTCTCACACATACATGGGCATAATTTCTTCAAAAGAACACTTACGGATCAGCAGATACGGCACTTCGCCGATGACAGCCTTGAGGCCAGGTGCCAGGACCACGCTCTCATCTCGGATCAAGGAAGGCACCGCAGCACCCACAGCATTCCATCGGTCGAGCAAGACCAACGACCACCAGATCCTGACACGAAGCTGGCTTTCGTTATCTGGGCCTGCTTCAGCCTCGGAAAGATCTGCCTTGGCCTGGTACAGCTTCAGGGTGTTGGCGCTCGCTACCGCTCTGCCCAATAGGGATTCCTTGGGTGCGCCGATGGAGCCCAATGGTCGAATGTCAGCCTCAATAATCATGAGGAGAAGTGTCTGGAGGAAAACGAGGTTCGCAACGGCAGTCCGAGAGGTAGAATCACTAGCCTCCCATTCTACTAATAGCGTGTGGGCGAGCCGGACATCTCCAGGGGTGCCAGACTGGAATGAAGGGAATGAGTGAATGGTTCCCGAGAGAGCCTCTACAAACGCTTCCCGCAGAAGGCCGGGGCACTGAGCCAAGTATTCTTGAATCAGCACCCTGCTGCTCGGCAGGAAGGGAAAGTAAGGATGAATCATGGTCAGGTAGCTAAGAGCTCCGTATTAGTCTCGACTTTTCAAGGGCAAAGAGAAAATGACCACGTACCCATTGAAAACCTCTTCGTCCACATCCCGTGCCTGATCGATATCAGGCATGTCAGCCACAGGGCCATCCATTGACGCAATAGGAGGCCGTGGCTGCATGTCATTCTTAATGGGCAGAGCCATAGGCTGGGGTGCCAAGCCATTGGTGGCGAAAGGGGACGGTTGATAACGATCAGACGGTGTTGTTATAGGCTGAAGAGGGCGAGGCTCGGTACCCCAGGCGACCTGTCTCTGTGGTACTGGGGTAGAGATGTCGGTACTGGAGATGCTGGAGAATGGTCGTTTCCGGCTGGTGTCCTCACCAGGGCCTGACATGGAGTTAAGCATTGCTGCCGCAGAGGTCCAGTTTACCATTGACTCGGGTGGCAATGACTCACTTTGGATCTCCAACTTGCCCTCAATGCTGTTGATCCTGTCGGCAAGTTCTTTTATGTATCTAAGGCATTGTGTCAGTTTCCGGATCTTGTAGATAGAGTAAGCGAGCGCTATCCTCAACTAACCCCTTGCTTGGCCCGCGCTTCTGAGGAACACGGCTGAACATGCAGCGGATGCCAGACCGTTTGCAGTTGGAGCATGGGCTGTCTCCAGCATCTGACTGGGCATCGCATTTGACCTTCTTCCTCCGGCACTCATCACATGCGCGAGACACCTTTGACCGTTTCCTAGGCGGAGTGCTGTCACCCAGGGCATATGGTTGAGCAAGATGATGGTGGTCCATGGGCACGGACATGGGCATATGTTGCTGTAGTGACTCTGGCAATGCCTCCTCGGGCACGTAAGAACGAGAGGCAGGCGGGAGGGAAGGGGGCTGATGAGGGTGCTGATGCGGATGCTGGTGAGGAGGATGCTGGTGCTGGTGCTGATGCTGTTGAGCCTGTGTCTGAGCCTGCGTCTGCGCCTGCGCCTGCGTCTGCGTTTGTATCTGGGCTTGGGTCGGGGCCTGGGCCTGGGCCTGTTGTTGTTGGGGTTGAGGTTGCTCCGAATGAGAATGGGACTGAGGATTGGGCATGATGCTACGAAGACTTGGGTCCTCGACGTTCATGCCTGGATCTGTGACGTGCATCATGGGCTCTGCTGCAAGATCCTGGCCAAGCTGAGCAGCCAACTGCAACTCCTCCACACTGGCAGAGTGAGACGAGGGCTGCTGTGGCGTGGGCGGCGGCTGTTGCTGGTCTTGGGGTTCATCGTCCCGTGTAGCCGGGTGATAATAAGGACCGCCGTCTTGAGCTTCGGCCGATGGTGAAGGATAGCTTTGCATTCGATCGGCTTCTTGAAGTCGCTCCTCTGGCAAAGGAGACGGATAAGTCGGGATGCGCTCCTCGTCCATTCTCTCGCTCTCCAGCCTCTCGCTCTCCAGTCTCTCGTGTTCCAGCCTCTCGTGCTCCAGTGATTCGTGCTCCGGTCGCTCATCCACTGATGCGTCGTGGAGTCTCTCTTCTTGTATACGGTCATCGTTCAAGTCGTCTACGTGGATATCGTCCTCTTGTAGTCGGTCCTCCCGCAAGCCGACTTCATGTATTCTGCTGTCATCTTCTAGTTTGCTCTCTTGAAGATCCTCCACCTTCAATCTCTCTTCCTCGGTCGTCTCGCCTTCCTGCGTCGAAGTCATGGCGAGATGTGCCTAGGGTGGTCTGTGTGAAGCCGACGACTATCGATTTCGTTTCGCGACACTGCTGCGCAAGACACAATACGGCCAGTTATTCAGGGTTTCCGGGTGTACGATTGAGCATCAGCTGGAAAGACTTCGAGAGGTTGACGAGCGGATTGCGTCGAAATGAAGTGAGGACTCGTTGCCCGACGGGAAGCGGGAGGTGGACGTAGGACGTCGAAGGCTCTTCGCGACGAGAAGAAAGCGCGTCAATGGAAATGTGTAGTGCGAGTTCGTGCATGCACAGGAGCGCGTCGCGATTGCGTTGCACGACCAAGCGGTGAGTCCTCGAGCTCGAGGCGGGCTTCAATTCACTGTTTAAAAAAAACTATGTGTTTAGTATCTGTACCCTCTAGGATATTGCAAAGCTTTTTCTCTTGTCTCCCTCGTTGCGACGCGACACTTGTGAATGGTAGCTTGCATTCTCAAAAGTATTCCCATCCATTCGCGCGACAAGCTCCAGGTAGGGGCGAGTCGCGGAAATCAGCTGTGATGCGAGCAGTTCTGTAGCCATCGTCAATCGCAATAGTGCGACAACGATGGCATCTGCGAGGGTTTTGGTTCATCGCAGCAGTGCCGCCGCAACAGGAGCAAGTCGCTCGAGTAGTAAAGCGCGTGGGGGTTGAGGGGAAATAATGAATCGGGCTGACTGACCTCTGCTCTCTCTTCAAAAGATAGTCCGACGCGGGCTGTCGTGATGGATCTGCTAAGCAGGCGATCTGGTGGACGGAATAGGAAGAACCAGGCAGCCGATGGAGGTTGGAAAGGCGTTGATTGATCCGGATTGCGCTGGAGTTTTGACCTTGGGGATTCTCAGTCAGCACAGGGCGGGCTTTCCTGGTTCGTCAGGGTTTGTTCGGGACCGGGGACGTGGATACTCTGCGTCTCGCATGGGCCCGACGCGCTTGACTGGAAGAATTTTTTTCTGGAGATGCCGGGAAAACCACTGGGGACGGACAGTGAAAGTGTGGGAAGGTACGTATCCGTAGGCACGTACCTTACCTAGGTAATGTATCACCCACCATCGTTGAAAATACATAGCTGTTACTATCCGTCCGTGCGTCATCGAATCAAGGAGCTTGGGCCACCCTGCTGGCTCGACCTCTTGACAGGCATCCCTCAGATCTCTACGAATTCATACACAAACTAATAATTACGGATCAGGTATGAGCAATAGTACTTAGCTAAGGTACCTAGGCTGTGAACCTGCGAAGAAATATATCCATCCCATCGAGCGCGAGTTGACGTCAGTCCATGTGTTTGTACTTTTGTAGGGAGTAATAGCTAGCTGTACGATGATTCGACTAATAAGTCAAGAAACTTAACAAGGCAACCGCCTTCGAGAAAAACGAGACATCGTTGTACTTACATCAACTCTCACTCAGTGTGGACCCTAGGTAGGTATATTGGTCTCTATGTTCCAATCATTCTAGGCGCAGCAGGAAAGTTATTCATGTCTCAATAGTCGTATTCGGCGTTCTGTTGGGTATCAAAATCTATCGGCCCATCCATCAAATCCCAATCCTAATCCACCAAGAATCCTCCGCCGTTCTCATCCTCCTCCATATCGTATTCCTCAGTCTCATCGCTCAGCACATCTTCAACCTCGTTGTCCTCTTCTGCCCCAAGACTTTCCTTCCTTTGACTCTCAGGCCTTGCCTCAACCCCAGCAGTTCTCTCGACTGCATCAATGTCATCAAACTCCTCATCAGTATCAACCAGGAAACCGCCTCCGTCAACCTCCATGCCATAATCTGCGGCGCTCTCACCCATATTCTCGTTGTGGGCAGCAGAATGAACACCTCTCTCTAGATGAGAGCCATTTGTGCTCTCCCTTGCATCGGCTCTGCCTGCGAGTCCCGCACTGGTCCATGTCTGCGCAACGTCGTCAACCATGACGCTGTCTTCAATGAGGAAACCTCCGCCCTCGTCCGGCCCCTTATCTATGTCGGTTCGGACGAATTCGGTCAGCTTTCTTTCTTCCTCGGCCCGCTCCGCAGGTTTGACGCCTGCCCACACGCGCTCAAAGATCCGGAGCGCCACAAGAAACCGCCTCCAAGTCCGGATGGCGACCAAGGATCGCTTGCTTTGCTCTTCCTGTGCGTCGACATCCTCCAACCCAGTCATCACTGCACGCACAGCTTCCTCATACTCCTTCGCAATCACGACGCCGTTGAAGACTGCAGTCCCGTGTTTGCCCTTAAATTGAAACCCTGACAGAGCTGGCGCGTAATCGACCCCTAGAACGTAGGCGGCTCTAGCAGCTGTGTCGAACTCATCACGGATGTGGACCCCTCCCTCGGGTACCATGCTTTCCACATATATGTCGATGTTACCAAATTTGTTCTTCGGAACTCGCCCATTGACGACCGGTGATGCGTGGTAAATATCCGTCTGATCCTGCGTGAAGACCGGCGTTCCTGCGGCATCACGTTCGTCCCCACCGTAACCGTCGTCGGCGTACTCGCCCAGTTTCGCATTGGACCTTCGCGGCAGAAACTTGATTGGAACCTCCATCGGCTTGACTTCGCGCCCCATGCGATACCACTTGTCCCTGCTCCGGGCAATTCGAACGTCCCTACGTCGATACACTTTTTCCAGCGGAGCCCTGCTACCTGCTGCTACCGTTCCTGCCGGCTGCGCGTCTGGCGTAAAGACCTCATTGCGCCTCAGGTGCCTCTCCAACGCAAATACTGGATGGTCTTTAAAGTCTGCCACATTTCGCGGCATTGGTTCGCGTGCTTCCATTGCATTCAGCTCGGTGTGTTCAATTTGGTCAAGGTCGGTCAGGCGACGCCGGCTGAACGGCTTCAATGCTTTCCGCCACCAACCCTCGCCACGTTCGATCACTGTCTCAATGCGCAGACGACGTGTCTTTGCCGTGTATGCCTTGGCATATCGCCTCGTGACGTCTCGAACTGTGCCATCAGTGTCGAAAGCAATGACATATGTCATAGAGTTCTCCTTGTCGGTTGCCGGGGGTTCCAAGTGTCTGGGTTTCCACATGGAATTTGTTACCAGAGGGTCTACAGGCTGCCACTTCTGGTGGCCCACGTCTAGCACTTCCACCCAGTATACCGGGAAGCTCGACTCGCGAATCTTCACGGGACCCTCAACCTGTTGCCGCAGAGTCGGTGAAGATGATGATGTTGGCAGCTTATAGGCTGTGGCATTTGGGTGACCCAATCGACGGAGCGGTGAAGTCAAGACGGATGCTGAAGACGAAGGCTCCTCGACAGCCGACTTGTATTGTAGCAACTGAGACCTTATTTTCTCCTCCTTGGTAGGCTTGTTCGAGTGCTTTGCATCTTTGGGTCTTGGCAGAGAGGGACCGGCTGAACCAAAAGACAGCGGCTGTAATGAACAAACCAATCGCGCGCGAACCCCTACTGCCCTTAGCAAAGCACAGTATAACTGTGCACCAGTATCTCGAGACCCTGACAACTTTCTCGCTGCGTCTCTGAAGTCCGAACGGTCTAAGCATGAATCCATGTTGCTAGGTGGCTCATACTAAGGCAAGAGGATTAGCATGTTGCTTCGAGTGCAGTAACCTGGCACAGACTCACGTTGTTCAAATGGGCAGGATCTTCAGCCCATAGTGGTCGACGCAGGCCCCGTTCAGTTATTTGGAATTTGGATCTGAATATGGCTCCAGCCTGTTCGAGGCCGTTCTTTAGGGACTCCGTTTGTCCGAATTGGGGAAGATCGGGGCCAGGTGTCAAGTAGCCAATCGTTTTTTTCGAAAGCAGAGGACGCAAGGTCTTGTGAACCTGCTCATCATCACACCAACGGTTTCTGAGGGCACAGTGTAGCAGGAGACACAGCAAATGAGTCTGGTGTATGGTGATGCGCCGTTGCTTCTCTTCCTTTGTCACTGGCTTTCGTTTGTTGGCACCTTTCCTTGTGACGCTCGTTTCATTGACATGCTTTGATAGATTGAGAGTCAGTTTTTGGGGTTCTTCCTGAGTCTCTTGAAAAGGGCGTATGTCTCCATAAGCCACATTGGCGAAATTGCTGGCCTCCTCATTTCCGACTTCTTCTTCGGTGTCATCATCAAGATCATCCTCTTCATCGTCGGAATCTCGGTACATGGTCTGGACGGTCGCCGGAGGCAAAATCACGTCTTCAAACTCAATGTCTGCGTCTTCGTCGTCCTCCCCCGATCCCTCCTGTTCTGTAGCCTGTGACTTCATGACCCCTGCTTTTCCCTCCCTAGGTCGCTTTAGTCTTTTAGCTGGGGGCTCTGAGAGTGCTGAAGAGCCAGCGTCCGCAGCAGCTTCCATCAGCATTTCTTGATAAACATCCGGTACGTCGGACTTTGCGGCCCTGGGCCGGGTGGCCCTGGTTCGTTTCCGGCCCGCCATTGTGGCTCTGGTTGGGGTGGATGTTTATATCAGGTTGGAAAACCCATACGCAGTGGACGCAGGGGCAGGCGGGGCAAGAGGACGCGACGTAGGTAAGGTATGTGGTTGAGATTGGGTTGTCTGCTGCAGAATGGTTGCAGTGAATAACCTATGATTAGATATATTCTCGCCTACTTTAGGTACCTTACCTTCCACACATAGATACCTCCCATAGGTACCTTGCAGCAGGGCAAGTTCTTGGGTTGAAGACTCTGTAAGTGAGGTAAGGGAAGGTAGCGGTAAATAGAACTTGCGAATCTCAAGATGAGATGGGTACCTAGGCAGAATGAATCGGATACTGGGTCGCTGACAAACCATGAGGCATGACGTCATTGCAGCAGCAGCAGCAGCATCCCGCAGGCAGCAGGCAGCAGGGTGAAAACAAATCCCCAGGTCACTCAAACGCCACGTGATCTTGAACCGTTGCCGAACCAACGTGATAATTTCTCAACAACTGTGCCGTCTTGAATGTACAGAGTCACTTCAAAGGTCACGAGGTGATACGCAAGACAAGGTAAGGTACCTTAGGTAATATGAAATGACATGGAAATGGAGGAATTACTGCTATACGCTGTCCTTTCTGCCCGGCTAGTTTTTATTGCGGTAGAAAATAGTGGTATCCAGAGGCAACCTGTCGCCCATCCACGTAGCTCTTTGTGTGTGATTGCGGAGTTCCGTGGCACTGTGGTCAACGCCTTCCTCGATTGTGTTGGGATGAATAAGGACGGAAAGAGGGCCTCGATATATGGTCAACCACGGTATAAATGCACCAAATTGTGCTGGTGTGAAGATGTTGACTTCAAACATGGCCACGGGGTGGGGGCCAATGGGTTTTTCCCAGAATCGATAGATTCTCAGCTCTGGGACTGAACGGGGAAGCAAATATCAGCCATACCTTTCGCTAGAGCTGGATCAGTTGCAGACACTTACATTCCCTCCGTATACGTTCCCAAAGGTCTCTGGCATGCTTTACTTGTTCTGGGTTGCTCTGAAAATGGTAAATGTGGACGTCACTGCAGTGCGTATAGGAGGTTAGCACCATAAGCGTGAAGTAAGGTACCTTACCATGAGGTAGGTGCGTCGCAATGTCGGGTCCCTTACAAACCACCTTGTCTCCCATTGTCTAGGGGAGCTGGAAACTCTCCATAAGTCTTGCTCAATCCCTCTCGTGGTGGGTTCCTGAAGCTCTTGCCATCCTCATTGAGCTCGGTTGGCAGCGGGGGGGCACTTTCGTACCCCTCGCGAGGGGAGATGTAGGTATAGAGCGGAGTATTGGCGGCCATTGCAACACCGTATCCTTTGATTAAGGTAAGTATGCAGCGTCTTACCAGCTAAGGATGTCTGAGTTTGAAGTTAATTTTGAAGACTGAATACAAGGAAAACCACAGACCAGTGGATTGGGCCTTCATGAACTCGGAGTAAGAACAGCACACTCTTTAACTTATATACACACATGTCAGGTAACACACCCTCCTGATTGTCAGACGTCCAAGTCAGTATTGCGCTGTTTCGCGGACGCCACTGCTGTTGGTCAGCACGCGATGGGATCCACTCACTTTCTAAGCAACCGCGCGCGCAGAAAACACTAAGGTGTGGGCAGACTCCATTCGGCTTGGTCGCTCTTTGCGCCGACACGCGATCAATCTTTCATTGACGCATGTATCCGTACATGTTGTTCCAACTCCCAAGGACACCGCACCTCCGCTCCCTTGCATCAATCTTCACCAAATGGAATCTGCGCGGATCAAGAAAGTCCACTACCTATAGCGAAAGTACAAATGTAGTGATCACTCTCATTCATTAAGTGCTTAGTTTGTCCGTGGGGAGGACTAACATTCTCAGCCAAGCGCAAGTATACAGCATCATCGGAAACCGAAACTCCAAACCGCGACAAGGCATATCCCAAAACTACGTAACAAAGCTGGAAAACCCCCAAGAATCTCGCTCATGTCATGAATCTTCATCAACTCAGCCAGTCGTGCACCACTCTGCTCCCTGAGCAACCGAACTTCTCTAACACGGTTGAAGGTAATTGCTTGGGACCAGCCCCATGCGCCCATTACTCCCATGAATTTCAGCTTCCCACCACCCGTCATCTTGGTGACGCAGGACGGCAAGAAGGTCCCCCTTAGAGAATCCCAGTTCTTCTGGGATGGCTGCCTGGTAAACGTACAAAGCCCTTGCTGCAACCTAGTTAGCACCGTCTTCTTCTTCTCTGCCTTCTTGTTATAGGGCTAGCACTTACCAAAATGCAAAATGGGCCGGCCATCACGAGTATATTGCCGAGATGGATCTGCCACGCTCTTGCTACGCTGTCTCGACTCGCCTTGACCTGGTGGCCCGCCGCCTTCGTAGAGTCCCATGGCCCGATTGCTGGAGCTCGTTCCAGGTCGACTCCCACCACGGCCACGGACTGATCCATAGCCCTCATCACCGACAGGCGCGAGTTGAACAGCTAATTCATTGGCGACATGGCTGCTGCCCGGTCTCATCTTCTCCAAGTAAGGAGCTGGAGACGCCGCTCTCGACATTGAGCTGGGTGACTTCTGGTAGTAGGGCTGTTCTGACCCCCTTCTGGGTATGTTGCTCATTCGTGATGAGCCTCGCCCCAGAGAACCTTGCGGATTAGGAGACGCTGATCGGTAACCACCCCTAGTATCCTCGGCTGGCCCGGCTCTCGGCGAAGCAGTGCGCGGGGTGCTTCTGTAGCCGCTTCGCATGTCCTCCGTCGGTGCAGTTCTCGGGGAAGCGCTTCGAAGGGGGGCAGGTGACGCTGCCCGAGGAACGTCGCTACCTCGTGTCATTGGCCGTGAGCTGGCCGTTCCACCGTAGCTTGACCCAGGGCGGTTGGCCGGGTTAAACATGCTACGGGTCTGGTCGGTAAATTTGGCCGATGTCTCTTTCATGGCCTTTGCTGTCACCGCCTGGGGTGGTACTCCGAGTCTCTGCACGACTTGCTGATCATAGGGAGGCGGCGTGCCTCGAAGTCCTCCGGCCGTTGCATTGCTGCTCCCCACCGCCGGGACCGACCTGGAGAACGGCTGAGAGCCAGGCGTCGGAGTAGCAATGCCGTGATAGCGGTCTGCGGAAACGCGCACGCTGGACTGCTTTCCTACGCCGACGCCCTTGAGCTCGGCCAGGGCTAGAGCAATCGGATCCGTCTCAGGCTGAGCGGCCGGAACATTGGATCCCTTCCTCTTCTCCAAGTCTGGAGTTGTGACGGAGAAAACATTCTGCCCAACGTTCAATGCGAGACTAGCATTTGCATCAATTGGCTCTGGGCTCATGGTTGATCTGTCTCCTAGCAGGTTCGATGTCTCCTGAGTCTGCAGTTGGGGCCTTCGAGCCGGACTTCCTTGAGATGTCACTGGGTGCCAGGTGTTTCTATTCGCCGGCGAGCCTGGTGATTCCTTTGTGCTCTTGCGACGGAATGGACTGTGATTTTGGAAGAAGCCACTCCGTTTCTTGAGAACTTGTTTATCCGAGACCGGAATCCCACTCACCGGTTCCTGCTTAACAGGCGATACTTTACCGCTTGCTGGCTCTTGGCTTGAAAGCGAGGTTGGGTTCGAGTAATCGCTGAGGGAATCGCGGCTCGAAGGCCTGGCTGAGGGCGGGTGGGAGCTACGCTCCGAGGGTGGGCCGGTACGGCAAAGCATTGTCATGCCGTCGAGAGGGTACGGATCATGAGGGACTGGTGCAAATGATCCACGCTGACTCATATCAAGAGAAGGTCGGCTTGGTTGTTGCTGCTGTTGAGCCGGAGGTTGAGCAGCCGGGGCTGCCTGCCGTAATTTGTCTAAAGGTCTCTGTGCAGTAACTGGTGCTTCGCGAGTATTAGGGGGTAAGATTTCTCGACGACCCGTGTCTTGCAGATAGCTCCTTGCGGTTGGGCTCGCATCCTTATGGCCCGAATCTAATCCAAATCCTCTAGAAGAGGAGCTTACATCCTTTGGTGCTGTATCATGAGCGAGTTGCCTAGTCGTAGAAGGGCTTGCATCTTGGCGCCTTGAATCAGGAGCGACAACGGTTCTGGGAGTAGCTGAAGGTGGATCTTTGTGTCCTAGGTCCTGAGCAAGACTTGAATTGGGATCGTGGTGCGATTCGTATGTCGAGGGTTGCGGTGAAGATGATCTGAATGCCGGGTTTATACTCCTTGGAAATTGGGCAACGGAGTAGCTGTCATCGTCCGACGTTTCCGATTGCGTGTCGTTGACATCTCCTCGACAGAAATTGATGTACTTTGGCGGATCTGGGATCTCTTGGCCCGTTCCTTGTTCTTTGATGAAGCTGATGATGTCCGTTTCAACATCCATCGTTTCCAGTGACAAACGGATCTTCTCGCAAGAAGCATCATCGCTGACGCAGACAGTGGAAGATATGTTGGCGAACGTCCACAAGCTACTCTTTGTGAAGTCGAGACGCTCTTCCTCCAAATCTTGGAACTTGTCCGCAGCCGCCTTCCACTCTCGATTCCACCTCACTGTCGTGTCCTCAAGTGCCTTCACAGCATTCTCGTACTCGGTATTAGACGTTGCAACGCTGATCTGCGTCTTCTCTAGCTTCGCCTTGTTCTTTCGCTCCTCTTGGCCCATAACCATGTGGCCCTGGGCGAGGTAGCCCTTGATCTTGAGACACTCCTGCTCGAATCGGTCCCGCGTCTATTGTATTCGTCAGCACATGACTCGTCTCGAGATTCAACCCGGAAGACTCATGGGCCAATTCGGATTTTGGGGCATCATCAGAACTAACCTTATTGACGTGCTGTGTTTGTTGTATCTTCGTCTTGAGGATCTTCTCAATCCCGTTTTGCACAATCTTCCGTCTCTCCTTCATACCACCCGCGAAAGCGGCAAGAGGCTCTTCCAATTCTGTCTTCATTTGCGCTGCGATGTTCTGATGTTGCTTCGCCATCGATTCGACCTCGCCTCGAACGGTGTCGAGGGAAACCTTCAGACTTCCTGACTCATGGGATCCTAATGATTTTCGACACAAAGAGAGTAGTTTTCGGGAGTATTCGTCTTCGATAGACGCACGAGCTGCACTGGACATTAGCTCTCGGCGGTAACAGATCAGTCGTGTTACTTGCCGCTGTAGAAAGATTTCAATTCATCGCATGTTTGCTTCGCAGCGAGCATACGGTCCAGCAGAGGGCCTACGCCAGCATCTTCCTTTCCCCAGAAGTTATTCGCGACTACATGTCGGGTCGGTCAGCTCCTGCTTTGCTGCAGACACGTAGAATCTCAACATACATGACAAAGCCACACTTGGCCCATCCGCCGTCGATGTAGGCATGATGCCTACAAGTGAGTCAAAGCCTTTAAATAAGGAACAGACTCGAGAGAGGTATGGCGTTGCGTGCGGTCGATTCGGGCTACTAAACTGTAGAAAATTGTATCAAGGCTCATGAACAGCCCTTGGGTCTCTTTGCGCATAACCTCAAAGTATCGTTTCTGAATTTTGGCGTTGGAAAGCTGGAGTTGATTGAGAGCCACGTTGGCGTCAATAACTGTATTCGGGCGACGGGTCGGTCGCTTGATGAACAGATGGCCAAGGTAATAGGTATTGTTTGGTTCCGTTGCCGAGTAACCATGTCATTACATAAGGCAGCCGTCTAACCTCAGTGGATGGCTAGGCTGAGTTTAGCGTGCTCGTAGGTGAAGCATGCCTGCCTTAGGGAAATCGCCTGTAATAAGGTATCCGTTTTGGTAGCAAGAAAGTACCTCAGGTGGGCAGGACAAGAGCGGGGGTGGTAGGCACGTGACCAAGGCAAGCAGGCATAAAAGGGCCTTAGGGGTTGTTGGCCCAATACTGAATGCCTATCTACGCAGTAAGAGGTACCTTCCTAGATGTCTCTCCTTGTGAGGGTGCCATTTTAGATACTTCTCCCCAGGTCGAGATCTTTGGCAGGTCACGTACAATCATGGGCTCTACCCCCACCTATCAATCCAGCTGTACGGAAATTAGCTATCTTACCTACCTATCTACCTTAGTACCTCCGTTGAATTAAGTACTAAAGAAGCCAGCTTACGTCTAGAAGAGACTCGATATCTTTCTAATCAAGCTACCTCAGAGTGAGTGCTTACCTGCAGCGTGTCTAGCCGTGCCTAGATACCTAGGTAAAGCATGTTGTCTGAGGGCCATCTATCCTTTTACAACGCCGGGCCGGCTGCACCTGGGCTGCCCTTGGTGCCTCAAGTATGACCGTCCTAAGCGGTGTAGGTGCATACAGCCTGTCACCTTGCCTAAGGCACCCTAAGGTACCTTACCTTAGGTACCTACCTGGCCTGTCCGGTAGTGCACCCGAGGTAGGTACCACCCGGCCTTGCCTGGAGGTACCTTAGACTCCTGCTTTGAGGTTCCTTACCCTCCCTCCACTGTGTGCCTTCGCCCATGAGGTCAGGTACCTTAGGTAAGGCACATTTTCCCTTAGGTGCCGTCCATTCTCCGCCTTGTGCATGCCCAAGCCAATCCCCTACCGGCAGCCATAGCCTCCACGTCCTCACGTACCTTTCAAACCAGCCAGGCTCTAATTTCTTCTCTCTTTGCGAAGCTGTCAAGCACCGTACGACAGACGTTCCCGATCGATCAACGTCGCATATTCTACGAACTCTCCCTCTCTCCATTCCCCTTTCCATCCTCCTCCTCAACCTCTGGCAATAGCGAGCTAGTCCCAGAAGCCGCTCATCGATCCCCGCCCGAACATCGGTGGGCATCTTGATTGCGGTCTCGGTCGACCTGGCTCAAGTGCCAGGTCCCCTCCTTTGCTCAATACCTCCATCGCATCAGCAACGATTCGGACACGGCCTACGCATCCTCGTCTCCGCCCATTCATCTTCCTCGTCGCACTCGCGCATCATCTGCGGCATTTGTTGCCCGCCACGTCGCGCCGAAGGCCACATTCACAGTTCTGGAAGTGCTCGTCGTTGATGTGGGCGTAGTCGATCACGAGATAGTTTACTTTGGCGGCTCGATAACGGAAGCCTCCAGCGAGGAAGTTGGTTTAGTCTGGTCTTGCTGTAGGACGGACTCCTCCTCCTTCCAAACTTCTTCCGCCCCGATACGCAATACTCTCCCATGGTCCCACAACCAAGGTCGGGATCATTCTCTCCACATCCTTCACAGACACTGCACACTGGAGTTTGGCACTCGACGCATCCATCACAATCCGCTGGGTTGACTGCAGGCGCAAGTCCAAGTACGAGTAGTCCGACAGGGCCAAGTTCCCTGGTCAAAATTGCTGTCGCCCAAGTTTATCTCCTTCTCGGTGCTATCAAGGAAGACAAGGACCGCGCCAAGTGGGAGACACAAGCAGAACAACTACAAAAGGTAGCCTTCCCACCCTCGTCGAGCTTGTAACCAGATTATCTCAAGTTTGGTCTGACACTGGATCATTACTGATACGTAAACATCTTCCTTAGCTCATCAATGAACACGGAATGGAGGTCTTTGCGAAGTATTTTACGCGCCTTGTCGCTGCCCATGCTGGCCATATCTTCCACGGACATACACGGCCGGGGACCAATGGCAATTTTCACCTTCTCATGAGCGAGATGAAGAAGATCTCTCACGACGCCAATCAAGCCAATAAGATTGCTGAGTCTATCGAAACCGGCACAGAAGACTTGTTCCGTGACTTTGACATGTCAACATTCATGGAAGCATTCAAGTTAGATGCTCTCGAAAAGACGATATTGGCGCTAGCCTTCAAGACAGGATCAAGGTCCGACCTCAAGACCAAGGGTTGGTTGTCCTATCATCGTGGAAAACAAACGTTTCTAATGCTGACTACTCAAATTCAGCCGATGCCATCTTATCTACGAATTTCCCGACCTTCGTGAACATTCTTGCCCGGCGTGAACTAGAAGAGCACGCAGATTTGACCGATTCCTTCATCGCTGTACTCGTCGATCGCTTCATTCAGTATCAGCCACCAAACTTCAACGCTGCGTCTAAGTCCGAACTAGCCTACAAGGTCCAGGCAAGGTGGCACGGGGACCAGGCTCCGCCGCCTTCTGAAGTGCTTGCCGCGCTTGATTTGGTAAGGGTGCTGGCCGACAAACCTCCAAATGCTCTGGCAACATACATCCAAAGAACGGGCGGCGACTTTACTGGAGATGAGGAGAGTTGCGTCTCATACCTGCAAAGTCGGCCTCAGAATGTTCAGCTCAGTGAAGAGCAGGTGTCAATCGCCCTGACTTACAGCACCATCAGCCAGACACCCCGTTATGACCCGTCGATTCTCGCGGCAGCCCTCCGTCGAGTTCTACCTTCGTCATTTAGGTGGCAAGACGTGGTTTCATACTTCGATCAGCGATCCGCTCGAATCTCCTCCCGGCAATTTCTCCGTCTGTACAATGCGTTGCTCCCGATCGCTGAAGAGGATCAAACATTTGATATCCAGAAGCTATGGGGTGGAAATTGGGAACATCCAGAAACCCAACTGTCTTTCATATGCGCGTTCGCCTCACTTCAGCCGGATCAGCTTGACGCTAGTACAATCCCGGGGTTGATTCCAACGCTGACACTGGAAACCTACGTGCAATCTGCCCCAGAGGTTCAGCAACGCGCGGCGTTCGCGGCCAAACACGCGTTGGTGTCTGTTGAGGCGCTATCGGCCGTGTTCCATGTTGCCCTTCACTCAGTCCACGCGTCGCAAAGCGTCGAAGCCAAGCGCCTGTTCCAGGAAGTCGTGGTGCCTAACCTAGACATCTTCGTCGTTTCCGCATTTGGAGTACCGAAACCATGGCCAACGATGGCAGTCGACACGCTGAACTCTCTTTTCGAAAGCTTCCTCTACAAACGATCAACGGAATATGATTTCGTTCTCGACAGCCTGTGGAAGAAGGACAAGGAGTGGGTGATTCAGCGGCTGATTGAGGCACATGCCATTAAACCAACCGATCTTCCCTTGATCTTTGAGCATGCCTTGAAACACAAATGGCTCGATGAGCTTGTTTACCTTTCAAATGGGTTTGGACTCGATCTCGCAGCGCTTGCTCATGCTGAGGGTTATCTTGATTTGGTCAATTGGGCGCGACTCAATTCCGAGAGAAGCAACGAGATTGCGCGGTCTTTGCTCCAGTTTTTGCTGATCAAGGCAAACTTGGAATTGCAATTCCAGCGCCCCCCCGACGGCCAAGCTGCCGTCAAATCTAGCACCACTCTCCAAGTGAGGACAGTGGCTGCTTTTCTGCAAATTCTGGAGGACTTTCTTCCCAAGACTCCCTTGCAGGATCTCATTATGGTGCAGCGATCTTGCATCACGGTCTACCCTAGATTGATCAACTATGGCGAAGGCTTCGACGATATCATTGACGCCAACGGCAAAGATGGGAACGCTTTGCCTACCGGGGCCAACAGTAAGATGGAAGAACATTACAAGAAGATGTACGGAGACGAAATTCAAGTCCGCAACATCGTCGAGGTCCTGGATCGGTACAAACATTCTCGCGATCCTCTAGATCAAGACGTGTTCGCATGCATGATCCACGGCCTGTTCGATGAGTACGCCCATTATGTCGATTATCCCTTAGAGGCACTCGCAACAACCGCAGTGCTTTTCGGTGGCATCATCTCCCACAAGCTTATCTCAGATCTCCCGCTCAAAATTGGTCTTGGCATGATTCTTGAGGCTGTCAGAGACTATTCCCCGGAGGATTCGATGTACAAATTTGGACTGCAGGCCCTGATGCAACTGTTTTCTCGTTTCCGGGAATGGCCCGGCTTCTGTCGACAATTGCTGCAGATACCCGGCCTACAAGGTACCGAGGCCTGGAAGAAAGCTGAAGACGTAGTTAGAGACCACGAGGATGAGCTTGCACGATCGCGCAACGGCGTTATGCCTACAGCTCATGTCAATAGCGAGTCTCTTTCGAACGGTAACGTACCCGAAGGCAGACCGACAGATCGTCAACCGCAACCCTTCCAGTCTATCAACGCATCTGACCGCTCGCCTGGAGTCGATTGTGAGGAGCCATCAAGCGATACACAAGGCAAGATTCAGTTCGTACTGAATAATCTTACCGAGACCACCCTTCAAACCATGTGTCAAGAGTTGCGGGAAATACTTGAACATCGTTATCAGCAATGGTTCGCAAGCCACCTGGTCGAGGAGCGAGCCAAGATGCAGCCTAATTATCACCAAGTCTATCTCGAACTGGTCAAGCTATTCGAGGACAAGATCCTGTGGGGAGAGGTTTTGAGAGAGACGTACGTGAGCGTGGCTCGTATGCTCAACTCGGAGGCCACCATGCAGAACTCGACCGAACGGTCACACCTCAAGAATCTTGGAGGTTGGCTTGGTCTCCTTACTCTGGCTCGCGATAAGCCGATTAAGCACAAGAACATTGCCTTCAAACAGCTCTTGATCGAGGCCCACGACACGAAAAGGCTCATTGTGGTCATTCCCTTTGTTTGCAAAGTCATCCTTCAGGGAGTCAACTCAACCGTATTTCGACCACCGAACCCATGGTTGATGGACATTATTCACTTGCTCATCGAGTTATATCACCATGCTGAGCTAAAGCTCAATCTCAAGTTCGAGATTGAAGTGTTGTGCAAGGGTCTTAACCTTGACCACAAAAGTATCGAGCCTTCCGGCGAGATTCTCAACCGTGCCGCCGTCGAAGACGCACAAGAGCTGGTTTCCCAAGACACTTTGGAGACGTTTGAAAATCTTTCCCTGAACGGGATTTCCACGGGTGTCACAGCTGGTCTTTCTCCTCAGGTCATTGCTGCATCAATTCCAGATCTTGGCCCGCTCATTCACATTCCGCCTACGAATGAAATGGTGGTGACGGCTACCCGACTGCACGAGATTGTTCGGACTGCTCTGACGCAGGCTTTGCAAGACATCATACAACCTGTGGTAGATCGATCCGTCACGATTGCTGCCATTTCCACCCAGCAAATGATTCACAAAGATTTTGCGACTGAGCCTGATGAGAACAGGGTCAGGACATCGGCCATCAGCATGGTGAAGGCGACTGCCGGAAGTTTGGCGCTGGTGACCTCTAAGGAGCCGTTGAGAGCCAACTTCACGAATTATATGAGGAACTCATCTAATGATTTACCCCAAGGGTTACCAGAGGGCACTATCATCATGTGTGTAAACTCAAATCTTGATCTGGCGTGCAACATCATCGAGAAGCAAGCTGAGGAGAGAGCTGTGCCGGAGATTGAGGAGATGATTGAGCCTGAACTGGAAGCCCGCCGTCGCCATCGCCTCCAGCGCCCTAATGAGCCATATGTGGATGCCTCTCTCAGTCGATGGGCATGGACTATTCCCAACCCGTTCAAGTTGTCGCCAAGCATGGGCGGCCTCAACCCTGAACAGATGGCCATATACGAGGACTTCGCCCGCCAGCCTCGGACCACCACTTCTAATGCTCCATCTCACGTACCCTCCGCTTCTGATGCGACTAGATCGCTGGCCAACGAGGTTCTCCAGGACCAGTTCTCCACAGTACCCAGCCTGGGAGCTACGGCAGATGCACCAGCCGTTCAACACCTCGGCTCTCAGGTTCAGCAGTACGCCCCCGTTCACAATGGAGCGTTGCCTACCGCGAGGCCCCAAGCATTCCAAATGGACGGCCGCGCTTTGATTGAACGCGTCCAGAAGCTTCTCATGGAACTGCAGCGCGTGGCGACCGAAGCGCGCGAGGAACACTTCGCCGACCTCCCGAGGCCACATCCCGTCCTAGATGTGGTTGACGCATTGGTTCAGCATATGATCAAGGCATCACAGACTTCAGACGAGTTTGCGGTTTTTGCTGCTGATCAAATTATCCAGCTCATTTTCAGCCCGATTGATGACAACTTGGCCTTGGAAAGCCTAGTTCATGTTCTGGAGACGTTGCGGAAGATTTCTGGCCCAACACTGAATAACCGCGTCACTGCCCACTTCCGCCAGCAGTCTGGAGCCACCTTCCTCCAGATGCCACTCCTCGCCGCACTGCTGCGCACCGACCTCCTCGACTGGAGAAACATTGATTTATCCATGTCCAAAGCGCTGCAGCAAAGGAAAGAAGGCTCGCTAGACTTTTTGGACCAGATGGTCGATCTGACTCTCCTCGGCAGCCGACCAATGGCGCTTTATGGCGACTTTGTTCGGACACTCGAGGCTGCTTGGTCCTGGATACAGGACGAGCCAGATTCCGCTATCGGACAGCGCTTGAAGTTGAAGCTCTCTGGTCAAACGCTGCCGCAAACTGCGCAACAGGAGAGCGAAGGCGTACTCCAGCAGGACCAGATGGAATATGTTTTTGACGAATGGATCCATCTTTGCAACAACCCTGACGGATCGGAGACCTCGTCCATCATGTTCGTGCAGCAAATGCAAATCAGAGGTGTTGTCAAGAGCAAGGACGACCTTTTTGTTTTCCTCAGAATCGCAACAGACATGTCGGTAGACAGGTTCGAGCACTACGTCCATTCGACGGGAACCCTGACGGACGCCTTCCTCGCTGTGGATGCCCTCGCAAAGATGATTAACATCTTTATCAGACTTCACGGTGAAGCACAGCCGACTCCGCCGCCAAGCCGAGCGGTCTACTTGGATTCTGTCCTGGCCTTCATCACTCTCGTGCTCAACCATCACCATGTGAAGCGCGCGGATCACTTCAACCAAAGAGTGTTCCATCGTCTGTTGTCGGTTCTCCTCTACGAAATCAGCTCTACTGCAGAGCAGCTTCCCGAGTCAGAGAAATCGGAGCTGTTCCTGAAATTCGCTGCCAGACTCGCAGACCTCGGGCCGAAATATCTTCCTGGCTTCGTTTTCGGCTGGCTCTCCCTCCTCCAGCATCGGGCTTTCTTGCCTGTAGTAATGAAGGATCGCTCCGGGTGGGTGGCGTTTACCAGACTTCTGCAATTGCTCCTGGAACATATTGGCGAACAAGTCAAAGCGATCGAGCCCTCCAATGTAGCGCGAGAGATTTATCGAGCCACCCTCAAGCTACTCGTTATTCTACAGCACGACTACTCGGACTACCTCGCGGCACACTCACATCAACTCATAACTAGTGTCCCTCCCCACTGCAAGCAGCTTCTCAACGCCATATTGACAGCGAACCCAGCAGCCCATCCTAAGATGCCGGATCCTTTGTTTCCCGGTCTGCAAGCTGATAGAGTAGATGGTGCCAGGGACTCCCCTGAATGCCTAGACAACTCTGCGTCTATTCTGCGCGACTTAGGCTTGCTCGATGTCCTCGACCACGCGCTGCAGAACGGCCCGTCCGAGGATACATTAGCACACATCACGCGAGCCATTGTGGAGAGCCAGCGATCTGATACTGGTTTTGGGCATGTGCCCATCAATGCTAATTTGCGAGTGGTCGAGGCAGTCACTCTTCATGTCGGCAACTATGCTGTCCAGCAGTCAACTCAGAAGGGTACGGATGTCTTCAATCCAGCCTCATCAGATGTGGCCACAATGTCCATCTTGCTTCACGAGTTACCTCCTGAGGCCCGCTACTACCTCATCACCAGCATTGCAAACCAATTGCGGTTCCCCAATGCCCATACCAACTACTTCAGCCGTATCTTACTGGAGATCTTCGGCCAGGACATGAATGACCCGGAGGAGACAGAGATCAGGCAGCAAATCACTCGAGTGCTTTGGGAACGCCTAATCGGCTACTGGCCCCAACCCTGGGGTCTCATGGTGACAGTTGTTGAGTTGCTCAAGAACGAGAAGTACATGTTTTTTGATCTCCCATTCGTCAAGTCAAACCCAGAGGTAAGTGAAGCAGCTTGTGCCCACTCCGTCGACATTCACCCGTGACTAATGTTGCGCCAAATAGGTTATTGAACGCTTCCATGCCATTTTACAGCGCGCATGAGAATCTGTGGAGAGATTTGGTCCCAGTCTGACAATCATGTCCATTCACAAGACAAGGCGATGGCAAGGTGTGTTCCTCGGATCAATCGCGGCACAAGACGGGTAGGGAAACAGGCGGATTGGGGATTCACAAAAAGGAGATATGGGCGGTGATTCCTTCCTCAGGGCGTTCTACATGGAAAACACGGAAAAGAACCTGTAGTATTTATGCTAATGTACGATAATGAGAATTCTGGTGGTATGTTGGACATTCCGACCTAGAAGCGTTTGGCCTTCATTCCCTATTCGTCCAAGCGGCGTCACGGCGACATGATAGAGATAAACACATCTAGTCCTCTAAGGCAACGGAGGCTTAGGGTCTCATAATGAACTCAGGCACAGGTAATTGTGTGTGGCAGCCATAATGTCAGGGAATAGAGTCAAAGTAGACCAAATAGACAATGCGTTAAAGAGACCTCGACAATTAGTCGTGGTACTCTGTACCCTCAACCTAGCCTCCGACCCTCCACCCCCGCTTGGTCTTCTCGCTCTGCACGACTTCCGTTCCTCCACTCGAATGATCGTGTATACGCGCGAAAGATATCCAATTTCGCAGCGACCTACGGCCAACAATCAAGGCAGGAAGTTATCTAAGCTACATCCTAGCGATGAGGTTGCCGGATACAAAAGTAAGCAGTGCCCCGCCCTTAAAAGGTGTTTGGGCAACCCTGTAGTCTTCGAACCTCGTAAATTACTCTCTTCTGCCTGTCCACAGCAGTAACCCAGAAACTGTAAACTCTAGCTTTTCGTCGACCTTGGTGGACTGACGATGGTCTTCCAACTATCAGGTTGCCGGATACAACAGAGGCTGACCACAGAAAGACACAATCATACTTGTAGGACAGTACCGATTCGTTCCCCTCCAAAGGTCTTTTCCTCAATACTTCGCACGGTCACTAATTCGAGATGCCTGTCTTGCATATATTCCTTGAAGCTGAGGCACAGAGTGCTACACAGTGATGTCCACCAGTAAGTAGTACGCACACAAGAATACACGTTTCTATTGAAAGCAGGCTGGGCCTCGCGGCTTCCTGTGCGGTCGTGGCCTAGCTGAATCGCCGCTGATTTGTCAGAACGGCATACAAAATCACCGAGCAGGCCTTCTTCAGGTCCTCTGATGCTTTTCTTATTCATCGCACTCGCCTGTCGTGGATATCGTCACGGACCCTCTTTACCATGTGACCCAGACTCCCGCAGCCCCTCTCCTCCCTGATTGAACCAGTATAAGCGATTGAGCATCACAGCTCTTCCTCGTCGGCATTGGTACCTGAGGTGGCCGGCGCATTTGTCTGTGTAGGGCCGCCACGGTTCATGACATCGCCCAAACTTGAGTTATTTGAATGGGCTCGGACTTGGTCATCGCCGCCAGAAATACTCGGCCGATGTTTCTTCAAGGGGCTCCCAACTGTTCCCTCTACTGTAGCATCGTTGCTAGGGTCCTGGTTTATGCCCCCAGAAACATGGCCATTGCCTGCAGCGCTTGCAGCGCCAATCGACGGACTACCGAACGCGCCCGAGTTTACAGAGTTATTGGTGGCACCTGCGTTCTCGGAGCGGTCGGGCTCCGCTGAATGTGCTCTCTTAAGCTGTTTTATGAGGAGTCAGGTGTCAAGCTCATACAAGAGGGTGTCGGGGGTAATACATACTCGAATACGGTTCACACCATCAGCAAGCTCCCCTTGAGATCTAACGTCCTCGGGAGCGAGCTTGTTATTGATGTCCTTTTCATCAATATCCTGCATCTTTCCAAGAAGTTCACTCTCGTCGTCATCGTCGTCACTGTCGTCATTGAGAGCTCCCCCAATATTGCCATTGCTCTTCTTGCGGGCTTTCCGTCGTCTGGTGGCCTCTGTATCCTGGTCCCTGAAGGCAGAAAATCCAACGGTGCCAGATGTCTTCAAGGGGCCGAGGCTTGAGAAGTCCAGCTGCCCAGACCGGCGTTTGGCAGATCCCGGCGTTGCCTGGGCTGCCTTGGAAGAAGCAATGATGCCAATCTTTTGGAGTTGCCCTGCGCATTGTGTTAGCCTCTTCAACGCAATATTGTTACATTTCTTGAGAAATTGGCCAACTTACTCTCCCCGCGATAGAAGAATGTGAAAGAAGCATATGGCTTGTCGGGGCCATCGATACCTGTCACGGTCTGAGTACTAATAGTCTTCGGATCCAACGTCTTGGGCTTGGCAAAACTTGTGGTATGCTCCACGTCAGCATCGACGCCGCTCTTTCCATTGCCTTGCTTTCCGGATTCCGCGTCATCGTCATCATCATGAGCATCGAACTGTGGAGAGTATTCTCCTTTTTTTATTTCGCCAGAAGCAAGCACACGGAACATCAGCACCTTGATCTGTCCAGTTGCCTCGGGGATCTCGTCATCGTCGGATAAGGAGTCGGAGTCGTCTTCGCCAAAGACAGCCTCAACAGGAGATCCGTCCTCGGCGCCGTAGCGCAGAGTGTCTCTGGGGCCGTTGGGGCCTTCCTCAACTTGCATGCTTGTCGCTCCAGCTGTAGTCTTTTGTCTCCTGCGTCGCTTCTCAAACTTTTGACGGCGACGTTCCAGCTTCTCTGCTGCATCGTGACCTTGAAGGTCCAAGCCGTTAAGCCAACGCTCCAAGCCAACTTCGCGGAAGAGAAATTCGCGCTCAGCAAGACCTCCGCCTTCAGAATCGGGTACCTGGACCCAACGACTGTTGACCCAGGTCTCCTCACCTGGTCGCAGAAGCGTGGCGACTTCCTCCTTGGATCTTCCGTCAAAGTATATGTAGGCGGCTATCGTCTCATTCTCAGAATTGGTCATGGGAATATAGGGGTTGACCACTCCGGAGAACTTCGAAGGACCTTGAGCGGCGGTGGGCAGGCCTCCGACGAACTGAGGCTTGGGATAAGGGTTCGTCTCGGTGGACTTCGGAGTCGAGTACGGGATCGGCAAGCCGGGTGTCAAGAGGGTAATTGAAATGGCGAACTTGGCAGGCTCGGGCTTGTTCAAATCGGGGTTGATGCTTGGCTGAGGCACGGGTATATAGGTGCTGATGCGTGACAGCCGTGACTGCTTTTGCATACCATGCTCGGGAAGAGGAGCACCGTTGGCATGTATGCTAACGGCAATCCCTTTGAAGCAGGGCATGGTTGCGAAGCGGACTAGAGCGCGTAGAAGCGCCGCAGTCCGAGCAAGGAAGGAGAATCGGCGAAGGGCACCGCGGTCGCCAGTGACAATGCGGCGATCTGAAGGTTTTCCTTGTGAACGCGGCGGTCAGGCAGCTGGGTAAAGCTGCGTGGTATCAGCTGAAGGCCGTGGTTTGGGTGAGTCGTTAGGTCGATAGTTCCGTGGGTGGTTTGCGGGATTCGGTGCGGCACACGGCGGACGAGGTGGGAATAGTGGGGGGATGCTTCTTGCCTTGGTGGTTGTCGAGGGGGACACAAGCAACGGTGTTTTGCAAGAGCGATTTATTGGCTCAACGATGTCAAAAACCGCAGTGGCGGGTAGCGAGTAGACTGCAGCGTACTAAGGTGGCAGTTGATGCGACTATGAGGTCGAAGCTGAAGTAGAAATTGCTCTTCTTCACCGTCTCCGAATGGACCTGGTTGTGGTGGATCTGACGACCGGGGGCAATGAGACCTTGGGCGAGGAGGCCTAGGTACAAATGGTGCGCATATTGCCCGGACGACAGTGGAGAGACAGAGGTGTGGGATCTGGGAGAGAAAATTATTGAAAAGTAGAAGATGATGAGGCTGAAAAATACCAGAGTATTGTTGGCTACAGCGTGGTGTGGTCGAAGTTGGGACAAGGCTCAAGATGATGGCGGCGGCAGCTGGCGGTGTGGGAGGGCAAGGAAGCGACAAGATAGTGCCCTGGAGGGGAAATGTTACTTGGCTGTCCCGTGTCCGTGCTTGGATGTTCCCGCAAGCGCAGCTTCCTACATCCGCTGGGATCAAGTGCACTGGTGCACTGTGGGGGGGCTGGCACCTCCATCCACGAGGGCACTGGCAGGTATTGGTATTCTGGGCCGCGACTTATTGCCTCGACTTACCTTAGCTCCGTACCGACTTTCAGGTGCCTCCCCGCCTCCTGTTAGGTAAGCAATGGGCACAGCCATCGCGCTGCCGGCACGGTGATACCTAAGGTACCTCACCTGGACCTTCTGAAATGGCGACTTGGGTGCCTCACGGTCAAGATCGCTGCTGACAACTGGCTCACACACCATCTTTCTACCCAAGGCATGTTCTACCTAGCCTTGTAGTGCCTTCGTTTCGTTGCACTCCGAGGAAGTCGACGCAAGCAGCTTTGTTACAATTATTTTAATGAGTGGATGCCGAATCCTCAGCGGGGTCTCTCAATTGGCTCTTGCTTTCTTCCATATCTCGACGTATTAATGTACCCCCGCCGGATCTCAGCAAAAGGTCAGCAATAATACCACCATAAGGTAGCAAGCACTCCCTCATCAACTTCGATGCGATGACCTTCGCCGCACGCTACTGGAACCTCCCTCACTATAACTCGTTCCAATGCCCGAGTCCCCTCTGAAGCCCCTTCCGTCATCTTCTTCCTCGTCATCGGCCTCACCACCAAGCGGGAGCAGGTCCTCCACACGAGGCCCCGCATGCTGCTCATCCTTGACTTCAGGCTCATACCGTAACGGAGCCTGGTTACCATAGGTCGGGAACGTCCTCGGGGCATCCGACAGCTCATCGATGCCACTTCCTTCCTCTCGCTTGACTTGGCCCATCGACTTATTGTACGACTTTTCCACAGTTCTTCCATTGCCGATGCCAGAGCCCTGTGACGATCCTGAAAGCCCAGACCATGCCAACCATGCCACCGCCATGAATACGATCTCGGATGCCCAAAATAACAGGACGGCAGCGGTCAGAGTCATCACGCGGTAGTTGTACATCAGCCAACGCAATCCCCGCAGTTGAGCCGTCAGCGTTATCGAGGCAGAGTACGTCTCGATATCCTGGCCGCCCTGAAGTTCAAGGTACGCTGAAGCGGGTAAGGAGGAGCCTTTCGCCAACTCCACGCGCTCGGCCATCGGTACGGTCAGGACGCAAGTCTCCGAATCTGAGAACAAAACATGGTAGGCTAGGAAGAGAATCCGTGACGCTATCGATACCATTGGATCGTGATATGGCACCAAAGCGGGCCGCCTTGAAGACAAAAGGACTGTCTTCCCGTCGAAATGAGCATAGGGTTCAGGGGCGATATGAGGTTGTATTTTGTCGCTTCCCGTCGACAAGGCTCCAACATCCAGCAGGTGGATAGCAATCATGAAGTTGCCTCGCTGTGTGTTGGCAGGCGAACGGGGCATAGACAACGTGACGGACACATCATACTCCTGCTGCGTTCTCAGAGCAGACGTCGGGATGGTTGCTGTTCCAAAGGGATTCGCACCTGATCTAGAGGTGAGGTTAGACAGCAACATTCTGGTTGAATTAAACGAAAAGCAGGCGGGAAGCACGAGGAGGACTCACCCGTACTGGAGGTGGACTGGGGTCGTCACTACTTGCTCGGGTAGGTAGTCGCGGAAAAAAAGGATGGAGGCGATAGCAGCAAAGGGCAGCAGAAATAGCGACGTGCCGACGAGGAGGCTCGCGTTCACAATCGTCCGCTGTGCAGTCTTGGACGTGGCCACTCGAGACGCCTTGCTCAACACCTCCTACCAGCGCCAGACTTAGAATCTCAAGGACTAGAGATCGTAATACTGGATAGAGAACGTACCATTATATCTGAGAACATATGTGATTGTATGCTATTGGAGCTCAAGGGAGTAGTCTCAATAAACAAGGTAGGCGAGGGGGGTGCTCCAGCTGGAGGTTCGGGGGCACGTCGTGGGAAAATGATATCGTCCGATTCACAAGCGATGTCGTCCGAAGCATACGACTAGTTGCTTCACCAAGCTATGCGCGTATAGTGTCGTCGTTGCGCAGGGGGTGAACGATTAGCTGTCAGGTGCTCCGTACTTGCCGTGAGGTGAGACTAACGTAGTCAAATGGGCCGTTGAAGGCAGCACCCTGCACTTCTGGAAAGAAGAGACGCAATTTGGGCTCTGACTTTGAACGGGCCAGAGCTCCTGGTCACGCTTGATGTTGATGTTCAGTGTGAAAGTGACGCGCAGATGGATTTGTAGCTCGAGGCTTGAGCTACCCTGAGCAAAGGGATGACGGTGGGCAAGGTGGCTCAAGCCTTGGGCCGCCAATTGATATGCTGTCGGGGCGTGTAAGGTACCTTGTCCGTACTGGTTAGAAAGCTGTGGTGCTGGGCTTACACGCCGCCATCTCCATACCTAGGTATCCTTCGTCCTCACCAGCTGGAAATTGCTAATCTTCCCGATGGCTTTGGCTTTGCTTCGACGGGAAGGAGTAGCTTGGCAAAGTGCAGGACTGTTGTCCATTCATACGTATTAGAGGCTATGTACCTTCCTCAACACAACAGCTTGCTTCGACCCGCATGTGACGTTCCGTGGGTAGCAGCTACCCATACCTAACATCTAACGTAAGGTACCTACCCGGGAGTGGGTAGGTACTTAACAGATGTCCGTTCTACTGCTAATTAGGAGGTGTTATATCTTTAAGAGACTAGTGCACTGGCTACATTAGCTCTAATGTCAAGTAAAATTAATACGTATACTAAAGTATTTTCTGTCTAGTTTTTTAAAATAGTATTTCAATTTTATTAAGATTTAAGATCTAATTTAAATTTCACTTTACTTTAAAAGAATTGTTTTTATTAATATAATAAATAAATATATAAAGAAAGAGACGCACTTATTATCATATTAATGTATATACTGTGCTATAATTATGAAGCGGTATTCATTAAGAATGTTACTATTTATTCAAGTATCATACACGCTACAGGTTGAACGGACCCCTGTCGCCCCTACATTCCCTTAGGTATCTTAACACCAGTACCTTCTCACACACCTATGTACCCTATGGATATATTGACGTGGGAAACCCCTCAGTCGATATACGTGACCATACCCGTACAGTGTCCTATGCGTAGGTAGCCACATATTACTGTGTACCTAGATCAGGGATAACACTGTGTTCTTGGCGTAGATGTCCGTGCATACATCAAGAGGAAAGTAGGAACAACCCATTTCCCGATGGTCAATGAATGCGATGTACGGATGAGATAGGTACTGAGGTGTAACAGAGGCATAAAGGTGAATGCATTCAAGAGTGTCACGGTGAGTACCGATGAATCTGCTGTGCTTCCAGATGGGGCTACTTTCAATTTGTTCACTTAACTTGACGTTGCGTAGCCAATTACAGTAAACCATCTACACTGCGTGAACTCTCTTTTCCTCGACGCTGCCGATACAAATAAACGCCCGAGTAAGCGACTCATGAAACGATAGTTCTGGCCGGCTCAGAAATGGCTTCACAACAGGATCTTCAGGAACTGCTAAGGGTCATCACCTCTCGGAAGGGAGTGACGATGATGGCTGCAATGGGCCAGGTCAAAGCACTGCAAACAGTGGAGCTTCGAAGGTGTGTTGATCGAGTGCGTCTGCTTTTATATATCACCAATCTCACGTGTATGTGAGTAGCATCCAGCAGATCAGTGACGCTCCGCTCGACCTGATAGAGCGTGGTCTAGGTGATTCAAAGTCGGCCAAGGCTTTACAGACCGCATGCAAGATCCACCTGAAGAGGGCAAATACCAAAAGATCCGGGGATCATCTTACCTCTCCAAGTGGGAAGCGTCCCAAGAATTATCATCCCAGCGACAACTCCGAAGGCCCTGCTCAAAGTGCAGAGGACATGGAGGCTGCCCTGAGTCTTCCTGTAGTTACGGACGAGAAGGAGATCGCCGAAGCGTCCATATACACCAATCGGGCGCCACTGATGTTGGCCTTCGTGTTGGAACTTCTCAGGCACACAATGCCAATGCAGCCCATGTCGAGTCGTCTAAGCTTGGCCCAGGCTGTTGTAAGCGCCAACTCAAAGTCAAAGGCCATCAGCATTGGACTGACCACGGCCGCCAACGAAGACAGCTCGTGGGGCGAAGGACAACCAAAGGTCAACATCATGGGCAGAGCTATAGCTGTTCTCAAGAGGGGCGACTTCGACTTGCAAGGCAGCGCTTTGGTGGCCCCGGAATTTCCAGGAAGGGCTTCAGGTGATAGTCTGCAGGGCAGGAAGCCGTCAGACTCCTCGAAGCAAGACCTTAGCAGCATTGCATTGACGGAAAATCCCTGGTCCGCCAGCCGTCAGGTCACTTTCAAGTCATCGACCTTTGTTGCAAGGGTGGCAAATGTCGAGGACGGCGCCCAGGCATCAGGTCTCCTTCGGTCCCTCTTACTATCCGAGCCACAACTACAAACGGCCACGCATAACGCCTGGGCCTATCGAGTGAAGAGGAGAGGGCAAGGCGACAAGCAAGATAAGGGGTCGGGAGAGATACGCGAGGCAAGTGAGGACGACGGCGAAACTGGCTGCGGCGAATTCATACAACGACTGATTAAGGAGGCCGGAATTGTCGACGTGATCGTAGTACTGACTAGGTGGTTCGGGGGGGAGATGCTAGGTCCAGATCGCTGGAGACTGATGCGAAACGTCGTCACAGAGGCACTCTCCCAGAGGCTACGACTCTCACAGACCCAGGGGGCCGGTGATGATGTAGCCTTATGGGCACTGGATCTTCAGAACATGGACAATGGACTTGGCAGCCGCAGTGCCAGCGGAACAAGTGGTAACGTCGTCGGAATCCCTACCTATCGCCCGGAATCGGCTCGGGCATACCTACTTAAAAGTTTTGCTTCCGGCCAATCTGAAGGTGTTCTCACTGGCGACAATCCCGGCGGGGGTGCTTCTAAAGCCAAGCAAAAGAGGGTCAGCAAATCGGAGGTCGATAGCGAGAGAATGCGCAACCTTGGTCGTCTCCTCGGAGCTCTCAGGCTGCTATTCGATAGCTGGAGCAGCCTAGGACCTCGTGAGATGGACCGCAAGGCATTCTCATGGTATGCGTCTATCAGACCAGATGTACAGCCAGGGGTGGCAGGATGGGGCGCCAAAGGTTGGCTGAAGCTAGATTCGATACTTCGGCTACGTCGAGATGACACACATAGTACGGGGAAATAAATCATCAACCTGGCAGTATGCCCAAGCCTTTGGCAAACCAAAGCGCTCACGTTCGCTCTCAATGTCTGCAGGCCGAGACGGGGTAGAACACAAACCCGTTATCCGGGACATAGCAATGCCGTATAATATCTACAGGTAATACGGTAACCCATATCTCAACCACATCCCCGTCTCCGCCGAGACTTCGTTGGTAAGGCACTCACTGCTTGGCGGAAGTACCGTGTTTGCGTGTTCGCAGAGGATTGAAATTGAAGACATGGTGGGACCGGGACGGGATGTCCCCTGTTTTAGCCTGGTCCCACACAACGAACGTAAGCCGGGTACCTTAATTTGGGTAGCTTCCTTAGCTAAGGTGAATCACCTCTGAGGATAAGGATATCTTATCAAGAATACTGCACCTGATCTTGCTTTACTCACGGGTCATTAAACACTATGGCTGTGCACGCACACACATCACACCTCGCTAGGCAAGGTCAGTATTCTTGTATACCGCTTCTGTAAAGACGCAAACGTGGCAAGTTGATACCATGTGTAGCTGCGCCATGATCCAATCCTCCCGCAACTACCTCTGAAAACACCAAAATACACTTTGTGTCGGTTGCGAACCATGCTACACCTTGCAACCGGCAGGAGCGCCCCTCGCCGGGCAGCTTGTAGCTTTCTAACAATATCTCGACGGCTGGCCTCAACTCGATCCGCGGGCCAAGGTGCAAGAGCTCCACGGCCGTTAGTCCAAACAGTCCTCTGCTCAATATGTAGTGCTAACCATACTGCAGCTACGCCACTCGTCGTGCCAACCAACTTAAACCCACTCCCACCACTTCGAATACTCTCGAAACAGCCGATGCCATCTTCAAGGCCAGAAAGATACCTTTGCTTGCCTCCGGGGTAGTAGCTTTGGGTCTAGGAATCTATATCAGTCTTTTGGCATCTTCGTTCTATTCTTCGACCTGCCAGGAGAACCCAGAGCCAGCGCCAGATGCAGTTCCGACAGGGCGACCTCACATCTTCACCAAAGATTCTGCCAAAAGATTTGACCAAAGTCTCGAGGGCTCAGAATGGCTAATGGGTATCACTTCTCTGCGGAAAAGGCTTGCTGCAGAGGCTTCTGGACATGTGCTTGAAGTCGCCATGGGCACCGGCCGTAACCTTCCCTTCTACGACTGGAATCAAATTATCAGCTCTCGAAACTCAGCAACTCAGGCGCTTGCGGCACCAAAGGCTAATGCACAACCATCCAAGCCCGACGCGGTACCGATGATCTCCTATACGGGAATCGACATTTCTGATGAAATGCTCGGCGTTGCTATCGAAAAGCTAGCAGAAATTGTGCCAGAGCTGGCTGATGTCGACCCAATAACTGAGAAGGAAATTGCGCCGACTCCGGCTGAGCGGAATGATATTTCCTACCTTGCAGGAAGACTACGAATACTCCGATCAGACATTCACGAACATATTCCTTCGCCCCCACAGCAATCTTGTCCACAAGCTAAATACGACTTCATCTGTTCCACATTTTCCCTCTGCAGTGTCCGCGACCCGGAACAAATGGTTCGGGATTTGGCTAGCAAAGTAAAGCCGAACACAGGCAAGATCGTCCTAGTCGAGCATGGTAGAGGATGGTGGGGATTTGTTAATGGGTTACTTGATAAGTCTGCAGCTTCTCATTTCCAGAGTAAGCTTGGTTTCTTCCACGAGAATCATCAGCACGAACTAACTCGCCTGCTCTCAGAATATGGATGCTGGTGGAATCGAGACATTGCTGAGATTGTCGAGAACGCCGCACAGTGTACACCAGGACTTCAAGTCACAAAGGTAGATCGCCCGTACTTCACGCAGCTTGGGACAACCTTGTGGATTGAGTTGAAAGTATCGGATCCGGGTGTGTCTTAGGCAACCCCTGGTCTGTAGATTCGTAGGCGAAGAGTCATGATGCATTTATTGCAGTCTGGTGGTCAACGAGAAGTCGGCGAACAGCTGAATTCGAGAGTTGTAGAGAAAGGGGAGGTTTGTTTGTTTCATTTCAGTCATACCCGGCCAATTCTCGAGTCTAACCCCCCCCGGCTTAGATTCCCAATTCAAGCCTGCACAGACTCTCTCGGGACCAGGTGCTCTTACAACTACTATACAAGAAAGACATCCGCCCATTCCCTGATTGTACTTCCAACGAGACCAACTTCATGCTATCGTATGCCCTGGTTCCACAATTGTTTTCGTCATCATCCAGCAACGCCAGCTAAGTATCAAATCTCCAAAAAAGAGAGCCCAGTTGATTCCAGAGTCGACAGACCAAGCCGCACCTGGCATTGGTTTGCCCATAACATAATCAGTCGACACGCCGTACGCTGATACGGAACGTGGACCATGCCTTCGCTACACGTAACATTTCACGGCCGTTAACAAGAGTCCAGCAAACAATCGAGTTCATCAAGTTCAATGCTTTCAGGGCTATGATCCCATTCTAGGAGGCCTCCCAGCTTGAACCAGCTGTCACCGTCACTTTCCTTTCTGGCGCTCGCCGGGACGGTTGCCTTGAAGGCTGGGCTTGTCATGAACTGATGCATATTTGCTAACCCGCTGTTAACGGCCACGCCGGTTCTCTCGTCGAACATGCCATCATCCCGAGCCGGTTCATAGGCGTTGGTAGATTGCTCGCCATTACCCGACAAAGACAGTTCGCGGGCGAGCTTGCGTTTCTGCAGACCGTCTGCCGTCTGCGTAAACTCTCGTTCATCCTTCTCCAGAGGAGGAGAGGCACTGCGTTGACTTCTTGAGTACCGGAAACTGCTTGGTAGTGACCCGACGGGAGTAGTAGGCATGGCAAAGTCGTCGTCACCATCATCAAATTCAGGAGAGGAAAGATCAACCTCAGGGGACGGGCTTAAATCCCGCCGGCGAAGGTCGATGTCGTCACCATCTTCGGATCCAGATGCGATGCTGGAAAGAGATGGAGAAATGACTGCACGCTGAGCGAAGGCCGGAGAGTCTGGGAAAGGCAGTCTTGGCCGCGTTGTGAGATAGAAATATGTCCGGCGTGGGTGTATCTTTTCGAGTTCCTTGGCCATTGGGCAAGGTACCCGACCACTCCAACAGGATCGCTTCAGGTAGGCGGAGAGGCGGGAGGAAACAATGGCGCATGGGTTTGCAGAGCTACGAATCTGTTAGTAAGATTGTGACGAGTTGAGAACGGAGCTGAGTGGCTTACTTCTTGACAATTGGGATCTGCTGCGAAAGCACAGTTGCCAGCTCTCGCACCAGATGAGGTCGGTTACAGGTGGCCTGTAATTGGGCAATGGTAGCTTCTACAATCTCATCGTTGATTCCCTCAATCTTCATGTGAGGGGCAGATTCGGAGTCGCTGTGGGATTCCTGCATCTCGACATTACTTCTTGTCGGAGACGGCGGTGGCGTATGATCAAAAACTACAGCGTCTCCGGTATGTTTTTGTGACGTCGGCCCCTGCACTGTTCCATCTCCATGCGAGCGTTTTTGTCTCTTACTCGGGCGCGCTATTGTTGTCGATGTAATTGTTACGCGGTTTCCTCCATTTTCGGAATTGCTTCGACTTGGAGCGGCGGTGGCCGAACTGCGACTTGGATGGCTCCCTGGGACATGAATGCCCAGCGATGGGAGAGACAAAGATTTGCGGCGAGTGTTGTATGGCATTTTGACGAGGCTTGTCCAGAGATGGGATGTACGGATGGATGGATATGAATGGTGATAAAGGATTCAGACGAGTGCATCCAGGAGACAGAGACGAGGTCACTTTTGGCGATGAGAGAGAAGGTGCAGTGGTAACATGCGTCCTCGTTTGTTATGGGGGTGGTGGATGGGATTTGCGTGCTGGGCAACGACATAGTACTGGGAATCTGGGACGAGGCAGAGGCGAGCTAGCACCCTTTTTTTTTTTCCTTCCTTTTTTTTTTTTCCCAAGCCTAGTCTCCACCTTCCCGCAAGCCCCTTGACCACATACGCAAGGGGTCCAGTCCGATGAGGTGTGGAACAGGCGAGTGCTCTACCCTGGCGTGCCGAGACTAAGGAACCTAACCATGCGTACGTCTTATGGAGCGCGAATGGGAACGGTTCCTATAGGCTAAGTATACGTCAGAAGTACCTCTTCGTATCACCCGGTCGAAAAGATTTTAAACTGGGGAGACGTCGGGATGAAGCTGTCAGACACACCTAATAGAGGCTGTCCTGCCCTGAGCCAGACACTTCCGGATGGAATAATGGAGATGCTGATTGGTTGCTAGACACAGCACTGACCCATGCGTACGTAGTACACGTGAGACGAGACGTGCATAGCTTCTTGGAGACGATATCCACACATGCTATACAAGTAAAGAGCATGTTTCTATGAGGCACATCTGGTAGGAAGTGGTGTGCTTTGCGCCTTCTAATCAACCTATAAAGCTCAGTTCCTTCTGGCACTACGTGCCCAACGCGCACTATAGGCACGGTTAAGTGAACTACTTTAAGAATGAGTTTCACTATTAGGGTAATACTACATAGCTATGACGGCAATAATCTACTTTTTAAGCTAATTAGAGCATTTAGATTATTATAGTCTTTTTTATAGCCTATAAACTTTATATTAATTATAATATATATGAATATTTTAAAGCTTCTAGCTATTATAATAATTTAATAAGAGTAATTATTATTAAAAGTATAACTATTTTTTTATAATAGCCTATTTATTTATTATTACTTTATTACAAAATTTAATATTATGTATCATAAATAGTTCTTTAACTTTTAAATAGTAATTATATTATTATTAAGTATAAAATATTTTACTATTTAACTTTAATAATTATTTATATTAATACTTTTTGTTTAAATTAGTAAGTTATTGCTATTTAGCTTTATATTTTAATTATTATAATTTAATAATAACACTTTTCTTTATCTTATTTATTATTCATATAGTTTAACTTTAATAATACTTAATTATATATTATATATTAGTTCTATTATAAATAAGATTAAATATTAGGGCTTTTATAAAATAAATAGTTATTATTATAATATTAATAAGAGGTAATTTTATTATTAATAGCGTAATTTTTAATTAAAATAAGACCTTTATTAATATTAACTTATTTAAATATAGTAATAAATAGGTTTATTTATTTAAGAAAAATATAAAAATAAAATAAAATATTATAAAATAAAACGTTTCTTTGAAAATATAATTAAAATTAAGGTTAATAATAAGTTTTTTAAGTATAAATAAGTTAGAGTAATAATATTAAATTTAAAAACTATAAATAAGTTTATTTTTAATAAAGTTATTTATTAAGAATGTTATATATTATATATTAAAGAAAACTAAGTATATTACGCTCTATACTTAATTACTAATTAAAGTAATAATTAATAAACTTAACTATTATCTCTTTTTATTAAAAATTAGAAATTCCTTTATATAATCCTTTATTTATTTTATTATTTTACTTTTGCGAATTAGGCAGTTCTTAATATTATCTATATAGTATTAATACATAGTATTAAATACTCCTACTATTTTATTAGACTATTTTTTATAGTTTTTTTACTTTTTAATTTTCCTCTTATAAAGTTTATAACTACGGATTAACAACGATATATAATCCTTTATATAGTGGTTTTTTCTAACTTTATAAATATAAAAATTAACTTTAACGGGATTATACTTTTAAAAGAATTATATAATACGGTTATATTTTTAATTATATAATATATATAATATACCCTAAGTATATTTATTTTATATTCTACTTTTACTAGCTACTCGGGCAGTTCTTAATATTAGTTATATAGTATTAATATATAATATTAATAAATACTCCTATTATTTTATTAAACTATTTTTATAATTTTTTTACTTTTTTAATTTTCTTTTTATAAAGTTTATAACTACGAATTAATAATAATATTAAGTATATAGTTATTTTATAAACCTCGTACTTAGCTAAGTTCGCTACCTTTTAAGTAATAGTAGCTTATAATAATAATATTAAAAATACCCTCGTTATCGTTATTAATAACAATACTAACCTACTTTAACTTATATATATATATATTATATATTTATTACCTCATTTTTTTATTAAAATTAAAAACACTACTTATTATTTATTATTTATTACTATTATTATTATTATTATTATTATTATTATTATTATTATTATTATTATTATTATTATTATTATTATTATTATTATTATTATTATTAAATTATCTACTTATTTAAGCCTATTTTATTAAAATACTAAGATATTAATAACTTATTAACCCTAAGGCTTTTTTAATAATTAAAAGTTTAATCCTATAGCTATTATATTAAATAACTTCTGAGCTATAAAACCGTTTTAATAAATACTATTTTTATAATATTAACTTATAAAAACGGATAAATATATTATAATAAATATTACTCTTATTAGCGCCCTTTAATATAATATAATAATATAAATAAGCCTAAACTTAATAATATAATTAAGAATTTAAAAGAGTATAAACGAGCATATTAAATAAAAATATTAAAAAGAGGTTATTATTAAATAAAATAAGAAGAGAAATAAAAAGTAATATTTAGTTATTTAAAAGTAATTAATATATTACGTTATTAATAATAGTTTGCTATATTAATATTAATAATTACGGCTAGCTATTATTAATTATAAAATTTATTAAGTAATATATATAATAAAAACTTAATATTAACCCTCGTAAACTAGCTTATTTATAGGGCGAAGTTAGCCCCTAATAAGGCGGGCCGGACCCTAAAGGGATACCCTAAGTATATACTTAATATAATATAATAATTTTAATATAAAAACTATTATTTAATTTAGAATAAATAAGCTATTTTTATATAATAATACTAATTAAAAAATTAATAATAAAAGTTAGTTATAAAAGTTAAAAGTGCCTTAATTATAGAGGTTCTAAACTTTAATAATAATATAAAAGTTTTTAAAAAAGGTTAAAATAATTTATTTTTAATTTTACTTTATAAATCGCTTAGGTAGTTCTTAATATCGGTTATATAGTATTAATATATAGTATTAGTAAATACCCTACTATCTCGTTAGGCTATTTTTTATAGTTTTTTTACTTTTTAACTTTCTTTTTATAAAGTTTATAATTATAAATTAATTAAAGGGCTAATATTTATTATTTTTTATACTAAAGCTTATAAAAATTATTTTTATTTCTATTATTTTTAATATTATTTAAAACTACTTTCTATTTTAATTAAATGAATTTATTAAATAAATGTATTAAATAAACTTATTAATATATAAATTATTATTTTAATAAAAATCTTTTAGTATATAATTTTTAAAAATACCTCTTAATAAGTCCTCCTCTAGGGCTTAATAAATTCTTAAGCCCCCTTAACGCTTTAATTATTATAATTAACGTAAATATATTTAAAGAATAATATAATACTTTTTAATAATACGAATTTAACTAAATAATAATATAAATATTATAAATAACTAGGTTAATATAAATATTAAGATTTAATATATTAATATTAGTTTAGAAATTATATTTTATAAAACTAAAAATCTTTTAATACGGGCTATATTATAAATATAAGGATTATATAAGGGTCCTCTAACTTTTAATAAAAAAATACGTAATATAAAATTTAATTATTTATATAAACTAGTATTAAAAGGTATTATATATATTAAAATAAATAAAGCTCGTTTTATAAATAACTAAAACTTAAAAGAATTTATATAATAAAAGTTAAGAACTATTTTAATTAGTAATTAAGTATAGAGCATAATATACTTAGTTTTTCTGAATACGTTATATATAATACAGCCCTAGCGGTTTACTTTATTAAGAAGATATAATTTTTATATTTATAAGAATTAGTAGAGAGGTATATAAAATTAATATACTAATATATACTTTATAATAATACATACGTTTACTTTTATCATTAGCTCGAAATTTAATTATTAATATATTTAGATTTTACTACTCCTCTAATATATATACATACTTTAAAACAAAATTCTTTTATTATTTTAGTTTTTATATTTAGTATTAATATATATTATTCTTGATAATTAAACCTTAGCAAAATTTATATTATTAAGCTATAGAACGTAGCCCTCATAATATAATATAATTTTTAAAATATTAACGTATTAATATATTATTATCTCTTTTTTAATTAGTAACTATTTTAATATTAATTGATTCTATAAAACTAATAGCTTTTAATTATATAATAACTTAATTAGTAACTTATTACTTAAGTTATTATAAAAATATACTTATTATTTCGTTATTTACTCTATTATTTTAAAATCGAACTAAGACTTTATTTTAAATATTATTTTTAATAGAACTAACTCTTTTTAGATCATTATATTACTTTAACTCTTATTTATTTATAGTACTCCTATTTTAGTATTAAATATTTTAAATTTATATTTTATTTTACGTACCGTTTCTTAGAAAAGTTTTAAATACTTAATATATTACTCTCCTTTATGTCTTATTAACATAAAATCTATTTTTTAATAATAGTTATTAAAACCCTAATAACTTATTTTAAAATATTTTAATAATACTCTTAAGCTTATTTAATAAGTTATTAGTATAAATACAAGGTTAATAACTACCCTTTTTAATAATACGAACTAAGC